TGTTTTGTCTTATTCAGTAATGCTATGGAAGGGACATTGAGCCAGAAGTGTTTCTTTTAGTCACAGTTGCGTTAGAAATGGATATTTATCATGTAAAAGCCTTTTATCAGCAAGTTAAAATGCAGATTTAGATGAGAAAAATGATAAATACCCATCAACCCCTACTACACGTCAATAAATGCAACCAAGCTAGCATTCATTTAAGTCTCAGATGTTGAAAATGTGCATAAAAAAAAGAAACTGCATTGATAATCCAGAAATGTGAAAAAATGCCTAAATATTACAAAAAGATGGAAAAGATGGTTTATAGATAAAGGAGAAATGAGAAAAACAGTGATGGAAACATTTTTTGGCACTACATTTCCTCAGAGCAGGGGTTTGAGCGATGGCGAGGTGGGACAGCAAAAAAAAGATTTATTTGGAGATCTTTTTTTTTATAATAAGCTATATAATAAGCTAATAAGGGTTCAAATCTTTATGCTGTACACATCGTGTACAGTGAGTGAGACACTTGCCTTGTGTCACATGCAAACAGTAGTTGATGAAAAAAATGGTTAATTCACGTTTTCTTTTACCTGATTTTCTAAAATCTGCTAATTTTAATTCTAATTCTGCTAATGTTGGCTGTAAATTGTAATTGGCAGATTTTCGGCTTTTGTATGTGATCGGTCAGTATTCCTTCTATTTGGCAGATAGTGAGAGCCAAGATACGACACAAAATATGTGAGCATATGTGCAATAACTATAACAGTAATAACTAACATGACTCGTGAGGGAAGCAAAGTGAGCACCGTTTTAACTTTTAGCATCAGTACATCAACTTTTAGCATTAGTGTGTCATCCAGCCGAGAACAGAGGTTAGCAAGACGAGCAAAGAAAACATGACAGAGACAATAAACTAGCACTGGCTAGCACTAAACTGGCTGTGGAGATGACGAGTGGCTTCCTCGTCTAACGTTCGCTACTTGAGGAAAATAAGTGCTTTTCTAGACTAGCCAAAGTCTCTTGAGCACATCTTTCCTCACCTCGCATGAGCAGAAATGGTGAAAGATTGATTAGCACAGCTTGAAATATCTTGAACAAGAAAAGCAGACTGCCATGCCAGAAATATGAGATGTACTCTTAGTAATTTTTTTTGTCCAAAAACAATTCAAGTTCGCCTGCTTTGTTGCAACAATTGTTTATTTGTTCATCTTGTTGTCATTAGTGTCTGAAAATACAGCTGAAAAACGGTTTCAGGTGTATAATGTTGCCTTTCAAATCCTCTGCGGACGTTCTTACTTATGACTTTGGAGATCGTAAGTACAGCCTGATGTGTTTACTTGGTTTTGGTCGTAAACGAGATGGATGCACTGGGAATGCTCCTTTTTTGTTTACTATTGTTCTTCTGTCATCGAAGAGAGTTTATTTTATGTTTATTTTGGATTACAAACTGAAGAGCAGAGGATGTGCATTTGATGAGCAATGCTTAGAAGCAACACATAGCATACACTTGCATGGGGTCTTTCATGTGTGGATGGGAGTAAGACATAACAGCATTTTAGCCTACAGTGGTCCTGTTTTCTGTTGAACAATTAAAATACACCTGGTTTACAACACTGCTATCAGTGGCTGCCATTGCTTTTTTGTTGACACGTCCCCGGCTTAGAGCTGGGCAATATGGCCAAAAATGTTATTACGATAAAAAAAATTAATATCAGTTGATATCGATACTATCATGATACATGTCAAATCATTATTTCTTTCAGGTTTGAAGGCTGATTTTTGCTCCTGAGTGGTCAGTTGCTGTTTTAAACTATCCTTTATGGTCAGAACATGACAAACACTTGCCAAAAACTGGAACATTACACAAATCTGTCATGGGATTGTGGGAGAAAGTTTCTGGTTAGCTGTTACCAGCTAGAAAAGCACGGCCGCAGTTTTTGTAATAGTCATAGTTTAAGAAAACAATATGTTTTCTTTTAGTTGTGTGGTGACGAGTGCCAGGCTACCTGGTTACAAGTGCTAAACCGTTTAGTTTTTTCAGCTTAGTACGAACAGCAAACGGTAGGTCAGTGATGGATCACACCGCCTTCCTGCCATCACTCCTACCACATGCATGTCAGAGCATATCACAGTTTTCAGACACCATCTAGCAGACATCTGGGTCTCTCTATTGTATTGTAGTCATTTGAGAGGTGAACCGCAATATATCTGACGCTCTCTGTGTAAAAGCATTAACTGCAGTGTGATTCTCTCGCACCAGACAAACTAATGCACTAATACTAAAATATGACTGTTTGGTGCTGTAACAGTGCTGTAGTTGTGAGGAGCAGACGTGATTTAGTGCTGCTAAAGCTTGTTAGGATGTTAGGATAGAGGTGAGTTCGCTGTAGGACAGTATAGTTAACTATGGCACTTATCCCATCACTCACACTTGGTCACAGGAGAACAGTTCGGCGATTGCTGAACAGGGAATATGTAACTCCACATTCAGACATTGCCAAAGTATATTTGGTGACTCATTTTACTTCATTTGATGCACTGCCCCCCCCCCCCCCCCGTCATCTCAGAAGTGCGCCCTCTCGTGGCGACAGCAGAATGGTGCCGCTTTCCTTGATATGATTTTCACACCTATTTCACAAGAGATTGTTGCAGGGCTAAGATTATTAAACCAGTTAAAACCATGTTTGGTGTGTTTGACTGTGTAATTTATTATCATGTCATCCTTAATTGTAATTGTCATCTTCCGTTCATGCTAAAGAACAGTTGGCAATCGTCATTAGGGCTTACAAAACGCTGATCGGTCTCTAAATTTGTGAAATGTTTGAATGGAAACCCCACTTATGTCCCGTTCCCATTGTTACCCTGCCATTTATGGTAGATTGTAGCTGGTTGACCACTATGCTGCAATGCACACACACACACACACACACACACACCAGAGAACAAATACCAGGCTGACAGGCTTGTGTTAGAGAAGATAGTTGCTATGTGCATGTTTTTCAGACTCTCTAAGAACAGCTTGAACACATTTGTCAGATGTGACTTCTTAGCACATTTCAGCATAATTGAAACCTATGTGTGTGGGTAGACGTTGTGGGCGTGTGTTAAATGTCAAATCTGTATTTTGTCACTCGTTTGCCTGTGCCATATGTGCATGTGGATACACAAAGTGTTCATACCGTACATTTAGGGAGTTTTAAAGTGCATTTGCTGCTAATTTATGACCTCATGAAACTCTTCTCTGTGCACAACAGCTCTCTTTACAGTCATTTTAGGGTGCTGTATAACTGTCTCATGGAGCTAAAGTAAGCGCTTCTTTAATTTTTGTTTTGTTCGTCACCATACTTGCAAGCTCTTGGTCACATGCATGTCATAACACTTAAAATAGGACCTGACCTGCAGATGGATTTAAAGCACTCTGCGTTTGACCTTTTCAACCATCCACAGTAGTGGTCTATAGCCCGGAGGACAGTCTCCATGATTTCCAAAAAGAATTTCAAATGTTCGTCGGACCGCAGGACACTTCTCCACTTCACCTCAGTCCATTTTAAATGAGCTCAGGCCCAGAGAAGGTGGCAGCATTTCTGGTTTCTGATTATATATGGTTTCTTCTTTGCTTTTTAATGATTTAATTTGCATTTGTGGATGCAGTGGCAAACTGTTTTCACAGACAGTGGTTTTCAGAAGTGCTTCTGAGCCCATGCACTAATTTTCTCAACAGAATCATGTCTGTTTTTAATGCAGTGCTATCTAAGGGCCCAAAGTTCATGGCCAGCAAATACTGTTTTTTGGCCTTGTCCCTTGCATACAGAGATTTCTTTGCTATTTTACGTTGAGAAACCTTATTTTTGAATTGTTGCACTATTTGATCGTGCAGTCTTTCACAGAGTGATGAACACCTCCTCATCTTGACTTCTAAAAGACTCAGCCTCTCTGATTTATACCCATTCATGTTGCTAAACCGTTTGGCAATTAATCACCAGGTGTTTTTCTTTAGCATTACACAACTTTACCAGCCTTTTGTTGTGCCCGTTCCAACATTTTTGGAACATGCTGTTGCCATCAAACTCAAAATGGGCATATATTTTTCAAAAAAATAATAAAAATTTCTCAGTTTCAACATTTGATTTGTTCTCTTTGTACTATTTTCAATTAAATGTAGGGTTTAAATGATCTGCACATCATTGCACTTACTTTTTATTCACATTTTGCACAGTGTCCCAACTTTTTTGGAAATGGGATTGTAGATTGCATCTACACATCTGCTACTGCGATAATGCAGTTGATTAAGACAGTCCTGCATTGCTGTAGGAGACACATCCAGACACTTTAGCATTCACAGTACAAATGTTACGTGGTCATTTGCATCCCTGACCACCCCTGAAGGTGGTTTCAGATCACATTGTGCCTGAGACGCTGTTCTCACCTGCACTTATATTATCACACACTTTAACTTAAGAATAGCAAACCTGTTTGATCAGAGATGAAACTAATTGCATTAAATCAGATTTTGTCTAAATTTGTTAACTGCAGTGTGATGGTGTGGTCCCCATGTCGAACTGGTCTTTTTGGTGTCGTAGATGCTGTTCCATTGGCGACCCGTTGCTAATATCACTCTGAAATAAGGCTTAAGTAAAATAAGGTGTTAAATAAGCTTGTGTTACACCAAGAGGCTCTCATTGCTGTAGCTAAACATTGTCTACTGATCTAATGACATAAACAAGATAGCAATATGTCTGGGCAGATCAGATTGGCAAGGAGAACCACTGTGGTCACCAAAACAACAATGTTCTAATTAATGTAAAATATTTCCTGTCCAAAGCTGCAACAGACTGTTTTGATACTGTAGGACACTTGGTTATTGCAAATACAATATGTACAAATGTGTTTCTTTTATTATACATGTAAATTAATAATTTTACATGCAAGATTGACTGTTGAGAGTTTGTGTTGCATGCAATGCGTGTTTGTGCTGAGTTCTCAGTCTGGTGTGTCTGTCTGTGTGTGTTTTGCAGGTCATGGATGAAACGAGCACTCAGATTGCCTGGCCCTCCAAACTGAAGATCGGAGCCAAGTCCAAAAAAGGTCCAAAAACCCATATGGACACCATAGTGCATCTGTGCTTTTGTGAGATGGTGTTATAAGGGTGTAACAATTTCAAAATAGTATAGAAAAATCAAAACAACGTATTGGAATTTTAAGATGCCGCATCATGAAAATCAGCCAGTTTGTAATTATTTGTCTCTGTGAAGTCATGAAAACATAATTAAAAAAAAAATAATAAATAATGTACATAATCAGCCCACAGCAGTTCAGAACCGCCCACTCACACTGCCATTATCATTATCAGGTGTTTCAGCCGGGAATGCTTTTTGAATGTGGCACAGTATAGGGAGCCAGAAGAGTCAGAAGTGCCTTAAATTTGAATTCAGCATGTTTTGCGGAAATCTCAGTCAGTAATTAGATGATCTAGCCGTCTGGGTGAGTTTTATCAGAGTAAAGTGGGCAGGGAAGGGACGGGGCTTATGCAGTATACACACCCACGCTTAAATGATCGGCTGTCTTTCTGAAGATCTTCTGAATTATAAAGGCTGTGATTTATTTATTTATTTTTTTTGGGTTTATTTTGATAGGAAGCCAGGAAGCAGACATTGAAAAAGTTCTGTTGGGATTGTATTTGTATCCGGGCCAAACAAGTAATATATAGGGCTGAATGATTAATTGTTTTCATATTGAAATTCTGATTTGAAACAAAAAATGCAATTTTCATATTGCAATTTACATTATCCATCCGTCTTCTATGGTGCTTATCTATGTGGGTCGTGGAGGGTGCTGGGGCCTATCCCAGTGTTCATCAGGCGGCAATTTAGATTATAGTGTACATTATTCAATATTGTCTCAAGTTTTAAGAGGGGAAATGTGGGCTTCTTTTTGGCTTAAAAAGCAAACCTGGGGCCATATTACAGATATTTTGTATCTTTTTGTATTAAGTTAAGATCTGACAGGTCAAGATAAGATTTTTCACAAATTCGTATTACAGAAAAAGATTTTGATTTAAGAATCTTATCTTACAGCATCTTATCTCAAGTTAAGAATTCTTAACTCACTCAAAGTCGACAGTCAACTGTCATGTCTGTTACCTAGCAACTGACCAGATGCGCACAGCTGAAACATAAACATGTAATCAAAGTTATCAAGCAATAAGCCAGGCAGCTAACGTTAGTTACCGTTATAAAAAAGGTCAAACAAAACTGAAGCGCGATAAACTGAAAGTCAATAATGTCGTGTCAGCGCTTTGTGCTGTTTATCAGAGTGTCAACATTCTCCAGTTTTGGTTTCATTTCCCAAACACTTTAACCGACAGCTCTAACGTAATACCTCGTAATAAACAGACACACGTTCAGCTCTAACTCCGCATTATTCACCACCATCACTGTAATATTGTATTTGACGAGTTTTCATCCACATTAACACACAAAGGTAATAAGAGTGGCCGGTGAAGATTGTCTCTGCAGTGTCTGGGGTTTTAAAAAAAAACCTCACAGGTCAAAGCACAGTTTTCAGTGTAGATAAATGTAACATCATTATTCTAGTTATAGTGAACTATGCTGCCTGTCACTGCATAAAACAGTAGAAACAGACAGTTAAAACAGAAGTTAAGGCAGCGTGGGGTTTATCTTAAAGTTAGGACAGTATTTATTTGAGATTTAGTCTAGTTAGGATATTTGTGTAATACTGTTTTCTTATCTGCAGTTAATGGATAAGATTAACTTCTGTAATAGCTGCTGTCCTAAATTGAGTCCTAACTAAAGTTGTTATGGTAACTAAACAGATAAGATAAGATTTTAGACTTAAGAGGTGTCTGTAATATGGCCCCTGGAGTTTAATCAGTATAAAATAATTGCATTGAAATCATAATAATGGTCTGAAAATTTGCAATTGCCAATTGAAATTGGATGTGTTCCCTAAGTTTTTCAGAACTACTAGAGTATAATTTGAGCTCAGTAGGATTAAGATACTTTTAAGCCATAATATATTGAAAATCAAATCTCAGAGTCAACACTCAGATCATATTGAACCTGTGTGTTGTTACACCTCTAGTGTGCATGCATGTGCGCTGTGCGTGTGGTGCAATCATTAAAATATGGACATTAACACATGAACACAAAGCACGTGTTCAGGCGCAAGTTTTTGTTACATCAGAGATTGTGTCTTTTTGAGACACCACTGCACCACATCATATTAAACGTGGAATTTTGTGTGTTGATACACACCTGCTGTGTTGTAAAGTTACAGACGGATTAATGAGAAAGTCAGTGGGGGTAAGCGGCATGAACAGGAAAAGAAAGTAAAAGTGAATCAGTTGTTTCTCACTCTTCCTCACACATGCTTGCATTCCTGTCTTTTAAGGGGATTTTCTACCAATATGTTACTGTAGCTAAACCTCACCTAAACAGCAAATTCTTCAGCTTTTTTAGTTTTTGTAAGTAAGCTACGTTTTGTTAAATCTTCATGCTGTAGAATGACTTTGGAAAGATCTCATTCCTCCCAGTGTAGAAACATTTCATCCCCTGTCATTTAGTGTGTGTGTACTGTATAAACAGTGACTGTAGACAGAACTTTAATGTATGAAATGTGTGTGTGGCTGCCGAGACTGAACTATTGGTATACACACACACACACACACACACACACACACACACACATACACACACAAAGTTAATTCTCTGTAACAGCATTCTAAAACATGCATAAACATTAGTGTATATACACGCACACACACTCTGAGAGCTGATGATTACCATATGGCAGGAAAAGAGACCTAACACATCCCACCCCCCCAAACTACAACTCACCACAACTGTGTGCCTGTGTGTGTGTTTGTGTATGTGTGTATGTGTGTATGTGTGTATGTGTGTGTGTGTGTGTGTGTGTGTGTGTGTGTGTGTGTTATCGTCCTGTAATATACTGACTTTGGAGGAGAACCAGACTAAAACTGCTGACTTTGTAAACGGTTTTTATGAAATTTTTTTTAATATATAAACTTTTATAATATATTCTTATAAACTGAAAAAATGTTAAGTGTTTAATTAAAGGTTAGAAGTTGGATTAGTTTCTTGTCTCACATACGCGCACACACACACACACAAATCCTATCCCCAAAAGGTAAATTTACAGTCGAAGGAAAAATAGATGTAACTTTTAATTGAAGTAAATGGCAAAATTCTTTATTTAATCATCTTAATTAAATGAAAGTATTTTTTTTTATTATTATTTTGGAGCATTTCTTTTGGAACATTTATCACCAGTCAGCGGTTTAAATTATGTCAAAAAATTAAAACGACCCACATGGACATTCGGTTTTATCCCAACACGGATGATACAGATGACTTCACATTCTAGCAATGTATAACAACAAACGTGTGAGGGCGTGTCAGATCACCCCTGGCTCAGTCTTCTTCTGCTCGTCTAATCCCAAACTCAAAATGTCTACAAACTCTTCCAGAAATCCTCAAACAGCCCACTTGAGAGAGAGAGAGAGATTGTGCAAATTTAGGGTGACAGTGTCCAGACTTTGTAGTAGCACCAGAGAAAACAGTTCTGACCTACGAGACCAATAAAATGCTCCTTACTTCACAAAGTGCTTTTTACAAGTAAAACATTTACAAGTTTAGAGTAAAACTGTTTAGTTCCTGAGGTTAAGATTAGCATTTGAAAATACTATATATGTCTATATGTATATAGTATTTTCAAATATATATATTAATACATCGCTGTCAGGTCAAACAGATCAAAACCTTCTTCAAACTTTTCATAAATTAAGAGTTATCAAGAGATAAAAAAAACTCAGTTTTAATGTACCACTGGCCCACGCATCACAAAATATAAAAAGCATGTTGTCCTTCTCAAATAGTAAAAAAAATATAAATGACAAATGTTGTTTGAATATATAATACATGTGGGGCCTATTATTATTACATATAGGTCCTTGTGTGTGTGTGTGTATATATATATACGGGGCACATGTATGACCCTACATCCTGACAAAGCATAAAAACAAGCATGTGTGTGTAGGGGGGGCGGGGATCAGCACAGGAGAGAGCAAATTCAGGCACTCTTTACAGTCAACTGGAGAGTGCTATTTTTAGAACAGGACTATAAATCTCATGTACGTTTCACATTGTGTGTGTGTGTGTGGGAGAATGTGAGAGAAAAACATTTTCTCACTGGAATGTGTGTGTATCTGTATGCACTGGTGTGTGTGCGTGCACGTGTGTGAAATGGCAGTAACTAAAGAAGTGCTGTGGTTTATTCCACTCTGTTTTCCTTAAAGCTACAATCAGTTGAATTTAACAATGTGTGTTTATGGGTGTACCTTAATTCCTGTTTATCATAGGCCATAAGATATATTTGTTTTTTTGTTTTTTTTGGGATGAGTGAATTTTAGCTAATAATTTTAGTCTGCATAAAGTAATTTAGCTTCTAAAGTGATCTTCACAACTTCTAACAAATTGCCATTTTCTGAGCTTTTTCTCTATTCATTATTTTATTTTCAGATCCTCACATCAAGGTCAGTGGGAGGAGGGAAGATGTGAGAGAAGCCAAAGAGAGAATTCTGTCCGTCCTCGACACAAAGGTGAGGCAAGCAGGAAAAAAAAGGAAATGTAGGATTTCTATATCTTGCACTAACAAAGCAATTTGTTGTGCTCCCTGTATGTTCCATAATATGACATTCTCCTTATCATATTGACCCAATGTTTTTACTGCAAAACCTTTTGACCCCTGCAGAGTAACCGTGTGACCCTGAAGATGGACGTGTCGCACACAGAGCACTCTCACGTGATCGGGAAGGGAGGGAATAACATTAAACGCGTGATGGAGGAGACAGGCTGCCACATCCACTTCCCTGACTCCAACAGGAACAGCCAGGGCGAGAAGAGCAATCAGGTACATACCCAGACCCCAACAGGGGTCTGACTCACAAAGCACCTTCAGCTAAGTCAGAGTTCCTGACTAAAGCCCCTTTCACACATACACTTTTAGCCAGGAATTTAACAGTAATTAAACAGGAATGGTTTAAGTGTGAACATGAGCCAAATCCTGGTGGAGCTGACACAGCAGTTTGCCTGCACAAGATCTAGTAAAATACCTGTGAGATTACCAGGCGGGCTCATGTGTAAATAGCTGCCCATGCTGACCTGTCTGGTGCGGTCACAAGATCCGCCTGCACCTGCACTTAGGAACAGTTCAGCTACTGTGGAGGCTGCTGCATGTCTATTCATCCTTCTGCTGTACCATGAGCCTACTCACCCCACTCATCTTATCAGACTGGTGCCTGCATTAACTCAGACAAGAACTGCTCAGTCTTATGCATTGTTCACCTGTCTCACTATACTGAGTGCGTCTATACAGCGTCTAAAAGTCACTAATTTTCATGGATTTATTTTTCTTTTCACTGCAATATGTTTCTAAAAGTAGACACTGGTTTTCATAGATCTGTTCGTCATTTGTTACTCTGATAGGATTCTGTCCAGGTTCTGGCAGACTCAGTTCTTTTTTCTGTATTCACTATTAAATATTCATTGTCATCTTTATTCTTTATTCAAATTGCTTTGCTCTTGTTGTTTTATCGTTTTGTGATCCGGTGTCAATAAGAAGAGGATGGGTTCAGAAATCAATATTTCACACAGATTCAAACTTCGATTTTTGCTTGAAAACAAAAGCTTTAAAAAGGGAAAAAAACCCACTTGCCTTGAAGTTGTTTACGTTGCCATGGCTACGCCACCGTCTCTGAAATGTCTGGGCAGTCTTAATCAGGCAGATAAGCTGAGTGTTTTTTCAACCCGTTTGAGTTATATAGTCAGGATTTATTTCCAATCTGACTTTGCTTAATGATCATCAAGTTGTTTATCTTTAGAATCATTGACATTCAGTCACCATTAACTTGCAAACGTGCATGCGCTGATGTTTTTCTCCCTCTACATGAAAACACTGATAACACTAGACAGAATTTTCAGAAACCTGTTTTCAGTGACTGAAAATGCTGTTTCTGTGGACGGGAGGCCAAAACGCAGGGCAGAGACTACATTTACAAAAATGTCCACATATGTGTGTTCCTCTCAAGGTTTCTTCCTCTTGCTCTTGTAGTTTTTCGATCCACTGTTGCCCTTGGCGATGCTCATTTGAGACTTGGACCTAGATGTTCTGTAAAGCTGTTTCATGACGACACCCATTGTAAAACGTGCTGCATAAATCGATCTTGAATTTGACGTATGAACAGAAGCCAGCGCACCACCAGAAAACGTCTAGATTACAGCCGGCAAAGCTGATGCCTTATAAAATTAGATTTTTTAGGTTTGGTTTTGTACATGATTCTAGAAGGAATCAGTTTTACAAGAGATAAAGGTCGTGGGAGTGTATGTAAGTACCTGATTCAGAAATGAAAGAACTGAACATTCATAAACTTAATTGCTTAAATAATCCCAAAATTAAACATTCCAGCTCTTTCTTTACCCATTTCTAAAAGATAATAATAAATGAAGAAGCAAGCAGTTTATCCAACTCTGTCTCTCAGAACTGCAAACATGTTGAAGCCTTAAAAAAATAGCTGGCCAGCCCCTGACCACTGGAATGAGAACTAACCTCTCTGTATGAAATCCATCTCAGCCTCCATCTCACTCAGCTGAATGAGAAATAACCAATAATTACCTGCTGATACTTTATCTACAGTGGCTGTGTTGATTCTTGGTTGGAATCTGTAATCAAGACCTGTGTGAGTAGATCAGGATCGCTGGCTTATGATTTAAATAACATTTTCAAATCAACACGTCGCCATTATTTCGAATAGTCACTGTGATCAAAGTCTTTGGAAAAACATTAACACTTACTGTTAGCTCCCAGCGGGGGCGGTCCTGCAGTTAAGTGATTTTTATTGGCAGAGAAACAGAAGGAAAGTTTTTATTGGGCCAGCGGATATGAGCGTTTAGTGAGCTGTTGAATCTGATTGGCTCTTGGTTCTGAACTTGTTTTGTGTGACATGCTGATAGGATGTGATGACAGACAGACACGCACTCTTAAGAACATTTCGAGCTTTGACCCATTTAACTGAAGAAAAGTAAAGTGTGGATAAGTACAGTCATGTGTAAAAGTTTGGGCGCCCCGGTCAAGTTCCTTGTTTTGTTGGTTTTCTAATTAAAAATGAGTGAAAACACATGCTCCACAGGAAACACACTTCTGCACAATATAATGCACAATTACTGTTTTTTTTTGTGCTGAATTTAACATATTGTTAACCTCAGCAAATAAATTAAAAAGTGACTAAAATTTGTAGAAAAATGCCAAAGAATCACAAAGAGAATTGCAAATTAACAAAACATGTAATTTAGGGGTGTTCAAACTGCGACTATATGTACATATGTGCATATACAGAACAGAGCGTGGATATTAAACCTTGTAGTTCTGCAGGTCTGCAATAAATTGACAGTGAGTTTTGTATACACTAATCTATCTCTCTCTCTCTCTCTCTCTCTCTCTCTCTCTCTCTCTCTCTCTCTCTCTCTCTCTCTCTCTTCCCTTCTCTCACTCTCTTCCCTTCTCTCACTCAGGTATCTATAGCAGGGCAGCCAGCAGGGGTGGAGGGTGCAAGAGCTAAAATACGGGTAATTTTACCTTTTAATATAAATCAATGTATACAAAAGTAAATAAAATAAATTTTAGAAAGAAATAAATGATATCTGAAATCTCTCTAGGAGTTGTTGCCGTTGGCTCTGATGTTTGAGTGCAGTGGTCTACTGGAGCCTCTGGACTGTAACTCTCCGATCGTCCAGCACATCTCTCAGTCCTGCAACGTCTCTATTGCCTGCAAACCGCCCTCACATCTCTATGGCAACACTGCCGTCGTCCGTGGCAACCAGAGCAACGCTGCTGCAGTCAAGGTGAGCAGAATTGGGTGAAAAACAGCCAGTTGCCATAATCATTTCACACCTTCATAACTTTTTTTTTTTTTAAACATTACTTGAAAACACCAGCTGCCCTTTACATTATGTTTGATGGTGAATGGACCAAAACACTGTTTAGACCCCACAGTGGCCTCTGCCAGCTGTTCTGCATTTCACTGTAATGACCACCTACAGCTGTAAATTGAGTTACAGAGGTGAATTCTGACAGAAAACGCACTAATTACAACAATCGTGCATTTTAGATTTTCGTATTTAGATTTTCATGTTTTTATCAAAATATTAGTTTTTGATTTATAACAAATAGTTCTTCATATTTATACAGCCCTTTTTACAATGAATACTTTTATTTAGGATAGTTTATATAGTAATTCCAGGAAGTGCTATGGTGTTGCTACAAGGTTGCTGTGGTATTCCAGCTTGTTGGGGCTTTGCTTGATGGTGGTTGCTAAGGCAGTGCTAGGCTGTTGCTATGGTATCTCAGGTGGTGGTTAAGGTGCTGCTAGGCTGTTGCTAATGTAACCCAGGTTTTTGCTAATATGTTAGGCCATTGCTAACATAACCTAGGTGGTTGCAAGTGGTTCCTAAGGTGTAGCTACGCTGTTGCAATGGTGTCCCAGGTGGTTCCTTGAGTGTTGCTAGGCCATTGCTATAATATCTCAAGTGGTTGCTTAGTAGTTGCTAGACTGTTGCTATGGTATCTCAGGGGGTTGCAAAGGTGTCACTAGGCTGTTGCTGTACTGCCCCAGGTGGTTGCTAAGGCATTGCTAGGCTGTTGCTTTGGTAGCCCAGGTGGCTGCTGAGGTGTTGCTAGCATACTGTGTTTGATACCTGTTTGATTCAATTCAAAGGAGTAGTTCATCTACATCTACAGTAGTTCAGCTACACTGACCAAAGGTGTGAGCCTTCTTTGGTCATGTCACAATTTCAGTGTTTTCTATCCCTTGGTTTTGTATATTTTTTCCTGGTTATGTGGCAAAATGTTTTGTTTTAACAATGATCAATAAACCTCTAACTTAGAGATATAATTAGTGATATTGCCCACTAAAATGCAGGCAGAATGGAGATGAGGAAAGGGAGCAGAGTTTAAAGAGTGCACTGTGTTTAGCGGAGAGTTTTTCAGCCTTCAGTTCAGAGAGAGAAAGTAGGTCATTGTGTGGTGAGTTAATGTGAAATGGAGAAAGCCTGGCTTTACTGTGCAGTCTCCAGAAATTATACCACACACTCACAGAGCAGCTATCCTCTCAAGAACAAGCCTGCGAGTCTGTCATTTGTCCTCTGGCATTGTGAGTTTGTGGTTTCAATGGTCGTGTTGATCATCCCAAATGATTTCCTTGAGGTGAACGACATTTTACGACAGAGTGCCACCAATTGCTTAGCCTGATCTGAACAACGGGTCCCTTAGTGGCATAAAGCTGTTGATCACGATTCTTTAAGGAATGATCCAATGCATCTCCATTGTTGCTTTGGTGCAATTTCAGAATTATCATTAAAAGTACACTGAATACTCAAACGCTACTGAAAGAGAGTTGCATATTTTATTTTTGTTAACACATTTCTCTAAATTGACTCTTTAAACCATCTAGTAGTGCAGGCTGAAGCCCAGCTGTACACTGATAAGATAAATTTTGTGATTGTAGCCCCTCTCATAAAAATGCAGCTTCTAAGTGGTCTTTAAAGCGATTACACTGACTATGCCGGACAGTAATCGAAATATGGATCAACAAGCAACTAACTAACAAAAGCAACAGTTTGGTGGAGCTCAAGTTTCCCTCGAGAGCCTCCACTGTAACAAGAATCACAAAGCTGCATGAATGAAAGCAAGAGGCTACAATCATGGAGGAGTTGAACCATTGAGTGTGTGTGTATCTAAAATATTCAGTGTAACAAGATTTTGCTCTGAGTCATTTTGGACCATTTGTATTGATCTGTTTATGAACTTTTGACACAATGTAAAGGGCAGCTAGTGTCTTCATATTATGTTTGAAAAAAACAAAAAAGAAAAACAAAGATGGACATACAATTATATATTGTTCCAACAGCAACAATATATAAAGGGTTTCATTTTAAAATGGTGTATATCCATTTGAAATAGTTTTGTTTATAGTCAGTTTTTGAAAAGAACAACAATTGATGTACAACACATTTTTATTTCTAATAAAGATGGTATTGTTCATAATGTGGCATTGATATTTCTTGTATGTTTGAAACCCAATCCCAACAACGTATATCATGAAAAAAAGAAACATTTTGAAAATGATCTTTGATAATTTTGCAGCAAAAGTCTTCATTTTGTTGTTTTCATATTCAGGATCATGTGAACCCTGTGTTCGCATACTGAAATATTGTGATTGAATTATTAAAAGTAATACATATATTCTGATAAAGCTTTATTTGTCTTTTGTAGGTTTGACAACACACAGAGCTTTTTAAATAGAGAAAATCTTCCTTTAGAGTCAAATTTAAGAAAAATCTAAAGAAGATTAATCAATATCAACAGCACAAAATGTGATTAATCACAGATTTATTTAATCCAAAAACAGTGTAGTTGAATTGCAACATTCACATCCATTTGTACACACCTGTGATCGATGCATGTGTTTGCTTGCCTATTGAACGTGTATATGTGTATGTGTGTGTTCTAGCGTGGTACTGCGTTGCTCTTGGACCACCTGGCTGGTTCGATGGCTGGATCTGTTTTGGTCAGCACTCAGCTGGACATCGCGCCGCAGCACCACCTGGCCCTGTTGGGGCGAAACGGAGCCAACCTCAAACACATCACCCAGCGCACTGGCGCCCACATCCACTTCCCCGACCCCAACACGCACTCTCACACACAGGGCCACGCGCGCCGCTCCACCGTCTACATACAGGGCAGCGTGGAAGCCGTGTGTGACGCCCGACAGCAGCTCATGGTAATGATGTGCACTGTGGTTTCTAACAGTGGACATGGTTATATATGAATAGACAAACTCTTATTAGTATTTGTTTACTTAATTTACTTAACTCATGTTTGACCTGGCATGGTTTGGAATAGAAGAAAAAAGTGGGTAGTTCAACTCCAGAAAGTAAAAATTCTCTGCAGAATTTGGTTCCTTCTCTAATTAGCTCCATATTCGGGGATAATAAAACACTTTCAAATCTATTCATCTCTCTGCTGCCATTTTTTTGTGCCTCTGTTTTATAGGCTCTAAAAATCAAAGCATATGTTAATTTCGGCTGAATTATTATTTTTTGTCTTTACCTGCAGTTAACTAGATATCCCTTTGTTCTGTCTTGTCTGGACACATAAATGTCCCTAGACAGTCATATGTAGGATCCTTTATGCTCCAAGAAGGGTTCATTACTTTCAGGAGTATCAAAGTTAGTGTAGATGCTGGGATCAAGAATGAGCCAGTTTAGCTTCATATTCCAAATGGAATGAGCTTGCATGCTGAAATTTTAGCAGCTGGCAAAATATCCAACACCTGGCAAAAGCAGATGTCACGTATCTGGGAACAGCTCATGAATTCTGAATCAGCGATTTGCTAGATTTGCTAGATTTGCTTTCCGGGGGTGGTATTCATAAAGGATATCAGGCAGGGAGTGGTGCTCACTATATTTATTGCTTATGAGTCTGCTTTAGCGTTAGTATTGTGTTTTCAGTCTTTTCGATTGTTATTTTTTAACAGCTTTATTAAAATCAATAGTGTAGATATTTAACCACATTTTATTTTACTTACTTTTATTTTAATGTCTCATTATTGTTGAGTGGCTTTTTTTCATTTTCCTAGTAAATTTTTCTAAGTGATCTCTGATACATATTTGTTTTTAAATGCAATTTTAACTAAATTTGACTCACTGTTCAAGTCAGTGTAAATGAAAAATCACATTGTCTCACATTAGTCTCTGGACTAGGACAGTGTTTTCTCTTTCTGATAGGCATGGATATGGTAGTGAGTTGTAAAACATGTTATTGGTTGATATTATTTTTCCCTGTCCCTGGTGCACAGTGACATAAAAAATCAGAAGATATTTTAGAAGCAAAGTCATTAGATTTCGATGAATGGTTGCAGGAATTTTGTCTTTCAAATGACATATGATGTATTATGTTTAATATGACCAGGGACGTGAACTAACAAGGTAAAAAAACAAAAAAAACAAACAAAAGGTCAAGTTGACTTTAAAACTAAGTGATCTGTGAAGGCTGTCCTGCATCTTTTCAGTACAGTTAGATTCATGCGTTCAGGTTTATTTGTATAATGTCATCATGAATCTGCTTTACAGAGAACAGAACCCAAAGCCCTTTCTTTTAAATTACCGGCTATGCCTCATTAGAGTGTCTCAGTGTACTTGGAGAACACTAATCTCTCAACTTTAAATGATTCCTCAGTCAGATCAGTCCACATGTGGAGTAAAAGGTTTAAGTAGGCCAGTTGGACGTCCAGCTATGTGTGAGAGAGAGAGAGAGAGAGAGAATGGCTGAAATTATAGAGGATCTCTTTCCCAGTGGTGCTCTGTGGTTTTGCTGCGAGTCTGCTGTCTGTTCTTGCTGAAGTCAATGAGAAATGCAGTGGCAGGCTTTAATATGTGTGTCTCTGTGTGTCTGTCTATATCAGGGCTGCCTGCCGCTGGTTTTAATGTTCGATATTAAGGAGGAGGTGGAGGTAGAGACGCAGTGCATCACAACTCTCATGGAGCAGCTCGACGTCTTCATCAGCATTAAACCCAAACCCAAACAACCCAGCAAGGTGCACAAGCTCATATTATTTTTTTTTATAACTGCAAATTCACATTCATATAAATGAAATACAAAAGAGGCGGGGGAGAAAAAAAAATGCCACAGTATTTTGACACAGACACAATAAACTGACACATGAACTGAATAAGTTCTCTCTGGTCACTGAGTGTTTATTTGCCCAGAAAAATCACTAAAGCAGAATAAATACAAATTACATGAATACAGTAAATGGTGATTTTTACATGTCGTGTTCACTTAACCATTTTCAAACCTCTCCTCAAAGAAGTCCAGTATTATTTATTGTCATCTTCCAAAATGTGGTTTAGATAGTCAGGCCTTCATTATATTAAGTCAGGTGTGCTGTTTGAACAAACGCCTGGGGGCATCCAGGAGAAATCTGGAACCAAACTTTGTTCTTCTAACTAGCTCACAAGGTATCAACTACTTCTTTAAAATAAAATAAAAAAATGCTACTTTTTACCGTATTTGTTTTTTTTTGCATCTAAACGAATGATAAATGGTGATTTTACTGGCAAAACACACTTCTTGCCAAGATGAACCATTCTGAACAACGTGCTTAGGTGCCTACGACTGTACTGTATGTCTGCATGTCTTGCCCTTTTGATGAAAACGGGCATATGTCTTGATATTGATGCGTTGTCTACAAAGAGGCTTGAAAACAGAACCAAAGTGTATTTCTCAGGGGTGGACAGGGCCTGTTGCCCAGTCCCCTGGCCACAACATTTTATGTTTTGGCTACTAATAGTGCAGAGGCTGTGGCTGAAGTGCCCAATTGCCTTCGATTTATTTTTGTACATTTTTTCCCCTTTTAACAAACCCCAGCCAAGCTGACTTTTAACACATTCATGAATACATACAAAATAAGTGCTTTTGACTTTCCCCTGTGAGATTGTTTTGTTGCCATTGCATCAGATCAGGTTGTGTCAGAACTGTAACGTTAATGGTCAGTCCGTAGAGCTATATAGCTAATGTGGGGGCAAGGGACAGCTTCTGTCAGTTTTTCAGCAGTTTTCTAGATGTTCTTGTTATTATTACTTCATTGTAGATGTGCAGCTTTCATCCACAGCTGTGAAATGCATAGCAATCACCCCCAACTCTTCAACATTCTGAAACACTGAAACATTACTATTTTCCTGCAAATTGTTTGAAACTGATGAAGTTATACAGGACTATCACGTTAGAACCATTTTATATGTGTACCTGCAACTGTATTGGTTTTATTGTATTAAAAACAGTCCAGACTTTTGAACTGTAGTATGTAGCATTGCATGCTTCCTGGGTTCTGTTCAGTCCAGATATGTATTACTTATCAGAAGGCTAAATAAAAAGCGCATTAAGACCACTGCGATGTTGCCTAATGTTAAAAAATTGTTGTAAATATTCAATACATCACCCAGGCCTTGTTCCCTGACACTAAGTTCATACAGATTAGTTTCGTACAGATTTAGTATCTATGCATCAAAATTGGTTTTCTCACTATTTTCCTCTTTTTTCTCCCTCTCAGTCTGTGATTGTGAAGAGTGTTGAGAGGAATGCTGAAAACATGTATGAGGCTCGCAGGCTGCTGCTGGCTTTGGAAAGTGGCTGTGGAGCCTCTCCTGGTACTCCTGTTTCCATCAGTACCCCTGTTTGTCCCGTTTCTTCTGGAGCTCCTTTTACTCCTGGTACCAGCAGTGTCCCGGTTAATGGCCACAGCTCCTCTTCCCCGCTCCTCAGCCCCGTGGGACTGGATATCTTGGCCTCAGCTGGACTGGGGCTAAGCACCCTAGGTAATATAGTTTTGTAACACTTTGTTAGCCGCACATGAAGTTAGACCTGCTTTAGGCCTGCTTTGTATGAGTGAAAATGTATATCAATGGCACTTTCAGTTAATTCCTGTTGGCAAGTCACCAAACAGTGTATCCTGCATATTTGAGAAAGGATTTTCCAGGTTTTTTAACTCGTTTTTGGTACTTGTGTTCTTGAACATTGGAATTAGCAAACTGAATCTATTGTGTGCCATTATCCCCAACATCAGACTCCAAAACTTACTCTGTATTGTGAGTGTTAGCGGTGGAACACTCATTCAAACCCAGTCAGTATCATTAGCAGACTCCTTCAGAGCTAATCACAGCGTATCATTAGTGTTAGCAGGCCCACTCAAAGCCTTTGTGCATCAGCAGCCTTCAAATACTCAGGATGTAACATTAGCAGAGTTGCTGCTGAATGTTCTGTGTTGCTCCATATCTCAGTGGGTTGTAATTACTACTGTCTGTGTCAGCTGATTACAGCTTGCGCTGCCAACAAATCCAAATTTAGCTTCTGCTTTCTGTGTGTGTGTGTGTGTGTGTGTGTGTGTGTGTGTACGTGTGTGTGTTTAATAGGTATTGGTAAAAAATCCTTTATACACTGAATAGTTGCTTGTTCATGTGCCTGGCACAAATAACAGTAGAGCTAGTTTATTTCTATGTACATAAGTAGGGCTGTCACTGTCGATTATATTAGTAATCTTTTTTAAACCAGTGAATAAAAATGGATTTATGGGAACAATAAATTAAATGAAATTATGCAGAGAATTTCCAATGGCTTCAGTTTTATGTTTTGCTGTGTGAACATTTCATTAAGTACACCGCCTTGTATCCATGGGCACAGCAGTGCTGCTGGAGTTGGTAAACACTGTGTCCACTCATACACCAGAATGTCAGAGACAACAGCTCATCAGTTGCTGCACAGTTTGTGCTGGTCATCCTCTAGTCCTTTATCAGTGGTCACAGGACGCTGTTGGCTGGATATTTTTGGTTCTGACTCCAGCAGCGACACTGGGGTGTTTAAAAAAACTCCAGCAACTAACTAACACACCACCACCATGTCAGTGTCACTGTGGTGTTGAGAATGATCCACCACCCAAATAATACCTGCCCTGCTCTGGTGGTCCTGGGGAGGTCCTGACCATTGAAGAACAAGGTGTAAGGGGGCTAACGAAGTATGCAGAGAAACAGATGGACTACAGTCTGTAATTGTGGAACTACAAAGTGCTCGTATGTGGTCAGTGGAGCTGATAAATTAGACAGTGAGTGTAGATACAAGGTGGTGTATGCAATGTAGTGTTTCTCTGTGTTTTTCATATATATAGTTTAACTTTCTAAAACTTTACTTTCATATACAAGCAATTTGTAAGTACAAACATACTACAGACCTGCATTAGTGAGATCCTGCTGGTACAATTTTCCTCTTTAAGTGGTGTCCACAAAGGTGCCTGGAGTGCTTATAGCTTGATCTTGTGAGAATCTGCTAAATGCTGCTCTTTATAATGACCTGCAGATACCCTGATTATCATTTATATTTCCAACTAATCACATATCCAATCCATCAATAACAAAATTGTAAACCATTAATTTTTAAATCAAATTATCAATTTTCATTGAGTAATTGCAACAGCTCTAAAATTATGGTCAGGTTTAGAACAGTCAATCTGTGTGCGATTCTCCTTTTAAACTCTCCTTTTTTACGTAGTGATTTGTAGATTCCAAGTATATCTCCTGGCTAAAGAAAAATGGGCTGTGGACAGTTGCCCCATGCTGGTTTATGTATTTACTAGCACCAGTGGAGTACATTTGAGATTCTCAGTATCTTAGATGTTTTTCTCTCCCCAGGTCTCTCTATACTATGGCATAAATCTCAGGGTTCCCCACAGAAAAGCCTTGGCTTACGCTGCACTCCAAGGTTTTTTTTTTTCTGAATGTGGTACAGATGTCAAAACCATTTGTCCGAAATGTTCTTTTTAACCGTGGGTTATTTTGGAACCCGACAGGACTTTAGAAGTCTTTACATTAAGAATAGCATGAAACACTGTGTGACCCCAAGTAGGCAGCTCAGTTTTATTATAGTATTTTTTTTCACTAGACATCATCAAAAAAAGTAGTTTAGAGTTACAGATTTAGAAAATTCTGTTAGTTAGACTCATGTCTGGCATTAACATGCTTCTTGGGTGATCTGATTATAAGTGCGCAGCGCGAAGTACAGGTGTGAAAGGGCCCTGTTACCACTTGGTCGTTAACCTCCATCTTAAGTGATCAAATCACAAGTGGACAGCGAGATGTATAGCCGTTTACATGTGGCATTTCCGGATACATACTTATGATTGAATCCCCCAAGATGTAAAATAATGCCAGTTGTAAACAGGGCCTTGGAGATGCATTGTGGTCTGATAGCTTGAGCCAACTTGGGAGGTGCTCAAGGACACCCATGTCCACATAATCTTTGTAGTACGAAAGCATCCTGATGCGTCCTGACAGCAATGAAGGACTCGGTGGCCATTTTTGTTTGAAAATAAATGCAGTGAGAGGCTTGTGTAGTAAATGCACACCGTACCTTTCCTGCAGTCACAAAATCTGATCATAAGTGCTCACTGGAGACACATTCAAGACCTATCAAATGTCCACTTAAGGTTAGATCACTCAAGACTGATGTTAATTCCAGGTATGAACAGGGCCTTACCTAAATAAGAAGGTACTGTTTCTTTGAGGGCTGAGCCATTTTGTATTGCCATTTATTCCTGAGTGCATTGGGATTCTTTATGTCAAGCAGCATTTTTTAGAGCATATTTTCATGCCATATGCAATTTACGTTGACATCATGAGTGAAGTTGCATATCACTGTTGTCAGATAAAAACCTTGTATCTCCAAAATGGTAACTTGACAGGAGAAGGAAAAAACATACTTTACTTTTTCGTGCAAGTCAGTGGAACCAGACATTTTTCCAAGTTGGGCTGTTTCTTTTGGACCATTCATCATGAAATGTACACACAATGTAAAGAACAATAGACATTTTCAAATGATGTCAAAAACTGAAAAACGACAAAAATGGAGATGAGGTTGTGTTCCAAAAGCAGCGATATGCTAGGCTGTATCATGAATGCTGAAATAATTTGTTGGACCATTTTCTCTCCTTGGTCATTTTTCTCTCTCTCTCTCTCTCTCTCTCTCTCTCTCTCTCTCTCTCTCTCTCTCTCGCTCGCTCGCTCGCTCTCTCGCTCTCGCTCTCTCTTTCTCTCTCTCTCTCTCGCTCTCTCTCTCTCTTTCCCCTACTCCACCTCCACCTATCCCTTTCTGGTTCTGTATAGAACCATGAACACTCAAAGAAGCATTTGCGTGATTACAGAGTTCTTTTATCATGACAGATGCAGATTGATGGAAAATGTGCATGAATGTGCTGTAGGTGGTTCTATATAGATCCTTTTTGAAAAGGGTTCTGTATAGCACCCAGAAGGATTCTTCTATTGTTAAAAGCTTGACACTGTAACAGAAGAACCCTTTTGGGTGCAAAAAAGAACCATTTTCATAAATGTTCTAGATAGGACCATCTACAACAACATTCTCAGTCAGTCTGAAGAACACTTTTATGATGCAAAGAACCTTTTAATCATGCAAATGTACAAGATATTAATTCTTCAGCATCAGGAAAATAATCAGAACACGTATTTAACAGAAAAGTACACAGAAACCTAAACAAATAAATGTAATATGAAATGTGTCAGTATTTGGTGTGTCTACTCTTTACCTTTGTAACAGCTTTTATTCTTTACAGCAGAAAACTTTCTATCAAATTTTTATCCGCTTTTATTGCAGCTTCCATTTATTTAGGTCTTTGCTTTTGGTTTCTCAAAGAAATATGCCGGTATATTTTTCCACACTTCAAAAGTTCAGTTTTAGAAAACAATTGCATTTTTTGCTTCTCATGATCCACATTATTACAAACATATTCAGTGCTGTTTATGTCTGTACTCTCAAATTGCAAATGTTTGCAAATTTATTTCGTTTTCTCAGTAAGGTGTACACACTGTATCTAGAATCAGAATTGGTTTTATTGGACATGTAGCAATAAGTAAATAAATACAATGTATGAGTACTGTGAAACAGTAAAGTACCTTAAACTGTAATCTACAGGTTTTTAAAGATCTAGTAAACATTGAACTTGAAAGACTGATGTGTATTATGTAGCTCTGCTCTTAAAAGATGGTTCTTCAAGGGTTCTTTAGTGAAGAACATGGTTCTGTATAGAACCGTGAACACTCAGAGAGTCCTTTGCATGATTAAACAGTTCTTTGCATCATGAAAGGGTTCTGCAGATTAGTGGAAAATGTGCATGAATGTGCTATAGATGGTTCTATGTGGAACCTTTTTGAAGAGTGTTCTATATGGCACGGAAGAGGGTCATTCTTATAAGCTTATAAGCTTGACATTGTAACAATAGAAGAACATTTCTGGGTGCTATATAGAACCATTTTCAAAAAGGGTTTATATAGAACCATCTACAGCACATTCTCTATCAGTCTGAAGTAATCTTTCATGATGCAAAGAACCGTTTAATCATGCAAAGGGTTCTTTGAGCGTAGAACCACTTTATTTACTAAAGAACCTTTGAAGGACCAAAAGTGTAGTTTATTCAACTCCTTATGTTTCTGTCTCCTTTTCTTCAGGTCTTTTGGGTTCCTCAGGCATTTCCACTCATAATGGCTCCTCCAGCCCAAACCCAGTTCTTTCTGGACACAGTTCAGCCCTTAACTTACCTAACGGAGCTACCAGCACGCTACAGAACAGCAATCACACACACTCAAACACACCTATACACACACATACTCTCACACCATTAAACAGCCCTTCCCTCTGGACCAGTGCTCTTAGTACAGCAGACAACACTGCAGGTAAGAATAAGACTCGTGTACATTTGTTCATTTAGCAAACTTTTTTCCAGACTTGCTTAATGAAGCACATAGACAATGGATGGCACTGTAATGCAGATGAACAGGAATCATGTGAAGATTATTACGAAAATTAAACAACCCCTCAAAAACCTGACATGTCATCAGTAGTCATTGATGGCTTTTACATAAACAGACAGGATGAGTTTTGCTGGACATTTCCAATATGCCAGTAGGCATCCTTTTGCGTTTGTCTGCAGTGAATCGGAGAAATGTTAGAAAACAAAGCGTCTTCAACGCCTGGGAGTGCTGCTCGATTGATTTCTGGTGTGTAGGATAGACTACAGACAAGTTTTGTTGTAGTTAGCCTAGCTACGCCACTTGCTATTTAGCGTGTATAACTTTAGTGACTTTGGGTTCTGTTAACGTTTGATGAACCTGTTTGTGATACGTATGTAATGTGTTTACTTTATTGCTTTGTGTGTTGATTTCTCATAACACTCTGTTTGGGGTGTGCCTCTGAAAAACCTCTGTTTGGAGGGTCACGTAGCCCTAACACTTCACCCTACCCCTCTATCTCAACAAGAATTAGGACCTAGACCTAGTCCAGATGCAGAAACTTTTCAGATACTTCTGTCCATTCAGTGAACAAAGACTGGAAAATAAGTACTAGAAAAATACAATTTCTCTTATATGATAGTTAAAGTCTCACAAAGGACTAAACGCAGTTCTCCAACAGTAATGTATTGTTAAAGAGACATTCTGGCTTAAAACTCACATTTTATATTTGTAATTTTATGTCATGTTATTTGTCACAATTTTGTATCCTTTTTTTTTCACCTGCCAAGGCTATCAAAAAAACTTCAAACAAAAATCCAAAAGTTTGTCCCACTGTTAAGATACATCAACATAACATAACTATTTGTTAAATCAGAAAAATTTAGACTATTGCAGCACCACTGTAGAAGTCGAGTAAGCATGTTTACAACAGATGTAGCAGTGATTCTATTGGTCATTTTGGCCAGACTGCCCCTTTAAGATTATTTTAATTTATAAGACCATCACTGCACTTGTATTTGTGCCAGCACTTTCCTGACTGGCTCTCTTGGTGTGTTGTGTATGGAAAAAAAAGTCATTCATTCATTCATTCATTAAAATAGTTGGAAATGCTGTTTGGACTTTGGAAGCGAAAATGCAACTTGACTGGTAATCTGGCAACATTCTGCACTGCACATAAACAATGCTGTCTGCCTGCAGTGCTCCCTCTGGTGGAGATACCATTGTATGTGTGATCTCTGTTTAAATTTTATTATAGACAGGCTGACATTAATCTCATTTTCTCCCGTTTGTTTCTCTCTCTCTCTCTCTCTCTCTCTCTCTCTCTCTCTCTCTCTCTCTCTCTCTCTCTGTCTCTCTCTCAGGGTTCTCCTCTGTTCTGATGCTGCAGTCTGTCTCTCAGGGATCTCTCAGTAGTCTGCTGCTGTCTGGAGTCCACAGTTACAGTCACAGTTCTACACACAATCACACACATTCGCCTACACACGTTCATACACACACACCCTCCCCTCCGCCAGGACTCGCACCTATACACAAACCAGTGACCACAGAGCAGCTTAAAACACACGTACGTGTCTGTCTAGAATTGCTTCTGACCTATTCATGCTCCTCCAACAAATGCATTCTTTTTATCTTGGCCTGGAAACTCAACATTATGTAGCAACTCTGAAGTTTCTCATTAGCTGAAAGGATATTTTTGCTAGTATTCGGTCCAACCTGGCAACAGTTGCAAAGGAACACATTTGTGGATGGAGCAATAGATAGATCAGTAGGTTTATTATTGTATTTGTTGTGAAACAAGCAGAACGTCCTACTCTTTTAATTTCCAGTCAAAACAGCCATGAAGCCCAAGTTATTCGTTTTGTCGGTGATATTTGTGAGTAGATTAGATATGAAATAATCCATTTGCATAAAGAAGGAGAAAGTTTCTAAAACTGAGAGCAGAGTAAATGGGACTCCTAACAACCACCTGGAAGACCTGATAGACATCAAAACTGCCCCCATCAGATAAACAGCCCTTAAAGCTTTCATCTTTGAGAGAGAGGAGAAAATCAAGCCGCTTCAGATCTGGGATTACTTGGATTGTGAGAACTTTTAAACCTGAACTTTGGAGGTGTGGAAAAATATCCCTGCAGAACTGAAAGCGAGTCCCTAAATGAATGGAAACTAATGAAGGCAAACAGTGGATTAAGAATATGATATATTTAGTTTTCTGTTTTTTTTTCTGACACCGAAAAGTAAAGAGCTTGTTCTTTTTTGCTGACTGGAAACTGAATAATATTTATGTGATAATAATTTGTGTGTGTGGGTGTGTTGCAGATCCCAGGGTCTGTGTACAGAGGGATTTCATCAGTTTCTCTTACTGAATCTATGCTTGGCTCCACCCACTGTGACCCGGTCCAGGAAGTTAACGGACACAACCAATCAGAAGCTCTCTCCAGCAAATCCCGCTCAGATGAAGGTACAAATCACACATTCTAATTCACATATTCACAGTCATATACTCGCACATACTCATTCACTCACATATGTACTCAAACCCTCTGCCTTGTAGCTCCACCTTGCTGTTAGACCGTAGCTCATCTGCTGATATGCAGTTTCTGTTAATCATCCTGTGGACTTCACGAATGGTTGGTTTACGACCACAAAGGTGCTCTAGGTTGGATATTTTTTGTGGTGGGCCACTCTCAACCTAGCAGTACTTTTAATACTAGCCCATTGTTCATGACACAGTTCATTGTACCTTCTTTAAGTGGTGTAAATCTGTAAGGCAAGCAGAAGGCAGGAGGTGAAAGAAGAGAAATAGAGCAGTGAGAGAAGATTTGATTGATTACTGTAGATGTCTTCAATGATTATGACTAATTAAAATGGCTTTTCATTCTCTTTCCCAGGCTCAGATACGTTTGTTGAAGTGGGCATGCCCAGAAGCCCATCTCATTCAGCCAATGGCAGGGACCTAAAGCAGATGTTGGCATCGTCAGGGAAACGGCAAACTGTGGAGCTGCTACAAGACACCAAGAATTCCCATCTTCAGTAGGTTTAAAACCCAAACTGTACCACTACAGTGAACACGAACAATACCACAGTGTTAAAATAACTAGTGTTGCACTGATACCGATACTATATCATACTGAAGCATCTCCTGACGCGGGCGTGCACGGGAGCAGACAAAACTTAACATGTCAGCAGTATGGAATGACAAGCAGCAGTAAAAATACTCATAGCAGAATCTGTAATGGCAGTTTTTCGTGTTAAGAACATGCTAACTGAGCCACTTACCTGAACGGCAGAGCCGCTTCTTTCAGTAATCACTCCTCTGCTGCTGTGTGGTCACATACAGACTGAGTTAAGGTTATTGAGAGAGTGGAAGGACCCCCGGTGTAATGATTTAGCCTTTAGCATAGCAGCCTGCTAGCCAGGCCTGTGCGTCCACTAGCCCTGCCTGCGGTGCGCCTCCATCGGTTAGCTGTATCACTCAGCAGTGGGGTCTCGCTGCCCGTCACTTCCACCAAGCCAGAAAAAACACTGAAACTCACTAATGCAGCTTGAATGACAGTGATATTTACTGAACTGACCCTCAGAGGTGAAGCGCGATTGAACAAGATGCACACGAGACAAATTACTTGAGAAATTTGGATGTGAAACAACATTCAGCTCCATTTTTAAGCCAGAGAAGCTGCTGTGTGCTGATGTGTAAACACCACAGGTTTATCTGTACACTGTCCAGCTCTGTTTTTAACTGTTCTGCACAATAAAGAAATTTTACATGTACTTAAGTAGTTAAACATGGTTCCCATTACTAATTATATTATAGGAAATACTAATAATATATAGTAAATAAACAAAAAAAGTTCTTAAGCATCTAATAAATATAATCTAACAAATAAATGCCATCTTTCCAAGCTGAGTGTGTTATTTGTGACACAGAACATAGATTTTACCAAAATAAAATATTGTAAAATATTTTTTAAATGTAGCTGTATAAATATCAGGACTTATATGGTAGTTAGGTTAGATAGAGTTAGTATCGGTATCGGTACTCGGTGTCGGCCAGTGCTGAAGGATCAGGTATCGATCGGAACCAGAAGGTAAAAAGTGCTATCGGTGCATCTCTAAAAATAACCTTACAGCCTTACACAGCTGTGAATCACCTTTAAGGCTCTATTCCACTATTATTCTTATTTTGCTGTGCATTTAATTGATTGCATATTTTTTTAATTGCATTAAAAGAACTACAGGGTTATTTACATTGTCAGTACAAGCAATAATAATAACAATATAATAATAATGCTAAATATATTAGCGTTCAATTTATCTTCTGTTTTAATAGTTTCGTGTTGAGACCTTTTTAAGTGTTTTTTCATGTCAAAAATAGAACCAGAAATTATAAAGGTTTGTTTTTTTTCTTTTTGCAAAATAAGACAGACAACATTAACTGCTAAGTTTTATCTTCTCCAGATCGTAATAACATATATCCTCATCTACTTACAAGCACAAACTTAGGGTGGCTTGAAAGTTAAGTATCTACATGTTCTGCCAAATTTCTTTTAATTAATATAAAATTACAACATGTTTTTGTTATTAAAGATCTAAAAGCCAGCGAGGCACTGCTGTTATTGCAATGTAATACAGAAAAAATGCTCTCTACGGGTTGGTGTGCTCAGTTTGACTAAATGCAGCTGCTGTTTAAGTCAGTCTGTAATTATTTACTGTGCTCTGCTGTTTCAGAAGATTGGTTGAAGTACATAAAGTAGAATACAGTGATATGTGCTAAAGCCAGAAACCACAATTAGCCAGAAAGCCAGAAAGAGAGCAAAATAAATACAACTGATGCTTAACTTTAAAGCTCTTATTAATCCAGTATGTTAATGGGGGTCAGAAAGGTCATCTGTGTGTTAATTACTCTCCTTCTGGTCTGCTGAAGTGTCCAGTACTGAAGTGTGCCTGTTTGTGTGTGTGCGCAGTTCAGAGTGCTTGCTGTCTGATTCTGAAGCTGATGCTGTAGCTGATAAGAGAGCCCCAGGCAGTGAGAGAGCGGCAGAAAGGAACAGGCTAGCACCTCATATACAGGTACAGACAGACACAAGTATGGACATAACCTTTCATCCTTTCTTTGACTTACAGTCTTTCACATCCAGACTCACAAATAAAAATAGAGTTCTGCATGGGCATGAAATTGAAGCCTGAACTCGACTCACAGTAGAGCCATGAACACTGAAAATAACCTGAACCCGCTTTTGTGCACCAACAGAGATGGATTACAAGCTTTTAGTTTTACAGAGCTTTGCTTTTTTACTAAGAGAGTTGATGGACATAAAATGTGATGCTGGAATAAACTGACATTTACACATTATAATTAGAGATGGGCAATATGACAATATTTTCTGAACATTGTGATAGGTTGTGTTATTGTGATAAAATGTTTTTGTGAGCATATTGTGGATACTGTCAGTATCTAAGAACACTGACCAACTGCATGCTTCATTACAAAGAGAGCAGAATTAATCCTGTTTTACTGGATTTAGTGCAGTACAATGTGTGGGTCATTGAATATAAATCTTGTGGGACTACTTGATACGTATTGTGATCGTATCATGTAAATGTTTTTTTTTTTTTTTTTTTCAGCATGTCACCAACCCATATCTGTAGTACACTAAGATACTAATAAGTATTTATTATCAGTAGTAGTGGGCGATATACTGATTCCTCCAGCATACTAGTTGAAATTCTTCTTAAAGTTTGTCATTGTTATACTATTATGCAGCAAATAAGCTGAAATAACACAATATTTACAGCGTAAAAACCAAGCTAATTCCCTCGCCTCCCATGTCGTGTTTTGCAAGGTAAGTTAGTCCAGTTTGTTGTTGAAGGAGCAGACATCAGAATGTAATGAGTTAAGAGGGGGAAAGAGTGGAAGGAAAATCTCTCTTGTCATTAGCCTTTAGCCTGCCATGGAGACTAGCCAGCTTTCTGCTCGCACCAGACGCAAAGCATTATTTAGCAACTTTTTGCCAGGGTCAGAGAAGCCGCTGTGTGCTTACATGCTTTATCTCATTAGGGTCAGAAAGCAGTATTGACATCCATCTATATCCGTCTGCATATATATTTTCCTAAAAATATTTTAGATTTACTTTAGTTGTTATATATATATTTCTTATTAAATGTGAAGTGACATCACATAACAATACATCATTGTTAACCTTCTTACCAAAAAGCTTTACTTAAGTATTCAGAATAGTTCAATTTATATATATTGAGGCCATCAAATACCTTAATTATACCATAATGTAATTTTGGTCATACTGTTCACTACTAGTTATCAGTATATTTGTGTGGAGTTCTTGCTTGTACCTTGCAGAGTAAGTAAGAACCCCCTCACCCCATTAAAAATGTGTTTGACAATACAAATGCAACAAAAACAACACATTGAGAGAACAAACAACTTTCTATTTTGAATGCTATAGACTAAAATGACAATCTGAAATATATTGTCAGACCCCGTCTGGCTCGGTTCAGTTAGTAGACCTCCTAATACACACAGAAACAAGCAGTTGTCTCCTCTAACCTGATTCTCTGATTTTTATTTATTTAATTTTTTTTTATTTATTTATTTTTTTCTTCAGGCCTACGACTATGAGCAGAAGAAGCTACTCGCTACTAAAGGTTAGTGCTGATTTCTTCACACATTTAGGCTATGTTCATATTACAAGCCTCATTGCCCAATACTATTTTTTTGGTCGGAATTAGCAAGCAGAACAAGCTTTTATCACAGAGATAATTTTGCTTTCATCTCTCAGCTGCTCTCATTATTAAGAGTAAGAAAAAGGAGGGAAAAAAGTCAGGTATAATGCTTTTGCAGTGTTTACTGGCACCAGCTTAGACAGTGCTGCCACATTAACTCTGAATGATGGTGCTTGGTCAGTGGGAACACATGCATTCCAGTGTGATCATTCTCAAGCATGGCTACAGATTGGACGTGTGTCTGATCTAGGACCACAAATGAAAGTGAGTCCGATTTTATTTGAAGTTCAGATTTTAAAATGAACACGTTTAAAGGATTTAAAATAATAAACTGATCAGGTTGTGATTCTTACATACACTCAAATTACAGCTGATATTCTGCACTTTATCCTTACAGTGATTGTTTTATAGTCATTGTTTCATTTCAAATCCAGTGTACTGGAGTACATGGTAAAACCAGCAAAAATCCTCTAATTATTTACAGACTGCCCGGTATGTTTTAAAGCAGTGTTTTACAGTTCCAAATGAACCCTTTTGCTGCACAGTTTTCAGAGTTCACAGAGTTCCCCCTAAAACATGAACTGTTCTCTCTAGTTATCAAATTCCTCATGAGTTAGAGACGGCTTAGTGCTGAGAAAACATATGCGGTGCTATTGTGTCTGTCTCAGCCATGCTGAAAAAGCCAGTGGTGACGGAGGTGCGGACCCCCACCAACACCTGGAGTGGACTGGGCTTCTCCAAGTCTATGCCTGCAGAGAGCATCAAGCAGCTACGCAGAGCCAGTCATGCAGCTTATAAACCTGCGGTCAGAACTACGTACGAGGTATTTAAGCACACAGGCTCACATGAGCATCTACACAGGTCTGACGATGGAGCATGGAAACCCCCCTGATTTCTACACATCGCTGCTGTCAGAACAAAACCTTGTATCTCTATTTTGTCATTTTAAAATTTTTTTGACATAATTTGAAAATGCCTGTATCTTTAAATCGTGTGTAAATTTCATGATGACTGAACCCAAAGGACTGACTCTAAATGACTTGGAAAAACGTCTGGTTCCATTGACTTGCACTAAAATTAAAGTATGTTTTTTCCTTTTCCTGTAAAGTTACCATTTTGGAGATATGAGGTTGTATTCCGACAGCAGCGAAATGCTTCTAAGATTAGATAATTGAACAAATTAGTTGACGGCAGTTAATTCTGTAACAGAGTAAATGTAATTTAAAATATATTGTTTGAGTGACAAACCCAGTTTAGTATGAAATTGTAGTAAACAGTCCAACAACCTGAGTACTAGAGCTGCACTGTAATTTGATTAGTAGCGAACAACATTGTTTCTGAAAAGGAAAAAACTGATTTGTCTGTTTGACTCGTGACCTTTGCAGTGTCCATGTCAGTGTGAAAGTGATTGCAAAAAAAATTAAATAATCGTTTTTGTTTGTTCCCTGATTTATTTATTTATTTATTTATTTTTTAACAGCACAGACTCTTTCAGACACAAACACTGCTATAGTAGTGTTTTATACAACTCCTCACACTACACTCACCTACCATTTTAAATTGCTATATATATAGACATCTGGTAAATAAATACTTAAATGTAATTTTTCAAAACATAAATTGTATATTTTAGGTATGTACTGAAAATGGTTGAAACTGGCAGTGGTTCGCACAGAGACGTTGAAGCGTTTTGAGCTACAGCTGATAAACAGTGAAACACAAACACAGTCTAGTAAAGCTGTTGCTCTGTGACATAATTGACAATGATTTTTAGGATTAACTGAAATTCTTTAATAGAAATCACATGAATAACACTGAGGACGTCATTGTCTTTTGGTAGGTGACTTTTTTTGTTTCTGGTTGTGAAAGTTACACACGTGTTTATTAGATATTGCTCTAAATGACAAACACTAAAAATTTTAAATTGTTTATTAAGCCATTTAAAATGGCTCTTTCACAATTTCTCAGTTATCACCTCTGAAGCATCATCAGCAGTATTGCATTAATTCAAAAGCATAAATAAAATGATAAGTTACATATAAAAGAGGCTTTTCTTTTGGCTTTGATTTTTATCCTAGTGTGTCGTGGATTACACTTTCCCAGTGCACCGGTGAAAGCTTTGTCACTGAAAGTCAGCAACTAATGAATTCAAGAAAGAAATAAGCTGGATGTAAATGATGTAGAGACTGTGTGACCTTTTATGAATAAAAAATGATCGTACTACTTCATTAAACTAGGATTACGTCTGAACTGTGTGGACCATTTGCAGGGTTATGTTTGGTGATTGTGTTGATCAGTATACCTGCCAAACACTAAAGTGTGATGTCGGTTAGCTAACATAAATAAAAAATTTGGTATATTCTTTTATTTCTCTGGTGGCTGTTTTCATATTAAACTGAACAGCATGTAGAATATTTTTGATTCTTCCAGTCACAAAGATGCTGGTGTAATCATAAAGTGACGCCAGGTAAGATAGTGCTCTGTAATGTTCATATGAAGCATGCATGCATTCTGATGCATACACTACAAGAGGTGTAGGGGGCGAAATGGCTTCTCGTTTCACTGCACCATAAAAGAGCAAATTACTTTCATAGAAGTAAGAAACAACTTTAATTCTAAATGCTAGGCTGCAGTCCATGTAAACTGCATTTCTAAACTCTTACATCATCCGAAGCTGATCCAGTCAGAAGGATCCTCTTTCGAATACAACTGATGCAGCCTACATTCTGCCAAATTTTGAACTGCCAGATCCTTCAACTCATCCACACACATCTGCCCCCGATAAATGTTCAAGAGAACCGCTGGCAGATGAACCACTACACGTTGTTTTAAAAGGCCAGTAAAATATATAGTAGCATGTAGGGTACGCAATTTTTTAGCTGTCTATCTGTTTAGGAGGGTATAATTTGAATGCAGCGTGTGAAATGAACCTGCTTTTGGTGAATTGAGAACAGTTTTTATGTTGCAGGACTGCATTTAATTGCGAGCAAATTGTTGTGCCCACTACATAATTTACCATTCCCATCAACATTTTGCTTGCCAGCTTATTGTTCACACCAACAGTATTTTCTCAAATTTTGTGCGCCAGCTCCTCTCTGATGATGTGACATAGCAACCTTGGTAGACTGTTCTATTTTGCCTTGTGCGATTCAAACAAGGAGCTTTTTGGTAACTAATTGGTAGTTGCAGCTCTATTGATTACTATAAACATGCATACACACACAGGAATTTGCTAATACTCTAGTTTACTTGAGCATTTGTGTATCTGTGTGTTTTAGGGTCCTCCTCTTTCTTGTGCGGGTGGTGGGGAGGTGCTGAGTAATGGCAGCGGGGAGAGCTGGAGAGAGAGAAACGGAAGTGCTATCGTCAACGGTAACGGAGCAGCAAACGAGTTCCCCTCTGCCATCAGTCCTCCAGAGAGGAGCAAGAGCAGGACTGGTGAATAAAAAACTCTAGACCTTTTATCTAGAGAATAAAAAGCTCTAGACCTTTTGTCAGCTTGTTTGTGCATTAATTAATGATGCGGAGACACACAGCAGAAACAACTAAGGCCCAATCCCATTTCTTATTTTCACTCCTACCCCTTGTTTTTGAGTGTCACTTTGCCCCTTGGAACTGAGTTACAAGGGGTAGTGGTTAAAATCCTCCCTACAAAATGGGACCCTTAAATAAAAAAAGAACATTACTTCATTAACAGGCTACTGTTGATGCCGGTCTGCAGTGATAGCTGAGGAGGGTAAAGTTCAGCAAACTCACTGCTGGGCTTGTTACATTTAGGGCATCATATGACTTCAAAGAGGGACAATTTATTATCACCCACCCCTAATTCTTCGGTGATTTGAAGCTTCCTGTCTGACAGTGCCATGACAGGAGGCCATGTAGCCCTAACACTTCGCCCTACCCCTCTATGTCAACAACAGTCGGGACACCCTACCCCTAGACATACATGCGCAAAACGGCGGGCTAAGGGCTAAGTGGTAGGGGCAAAGGGTGAAATGGGATTGGGCCCAAGTGGCCAACCATGCTCTGCCACAAAATGTTTTTTGTTGCTGCTGTTGCACAGTTGGACCAGCTTCACATATCACAGGCAAAAAATTCTTTAACCTAAAGAGAACCTGTAGCACAAAACGTAGTTTTGTTAAATTATTTAAATCAGGCTACAGTCCTTAAAGTGGCTCCATAATGTTAGGTTTCAAGTTTAACCTGCTGTGCTACCGAGCTGGGCAGTGTTACTGTAGATAAATGAAACTAGGCAGGTTGGAAATGCCAAACTACGCTAACGCTTGCTTGATTACACCAAAAACAGATGCTATATGCACACATACACACTACATTTAGAGAGTAGTACAGTAGTGCATTTGTGCTGTATAAAGTGTGATTAGTTCAAAGCTTGTCCAAACGGGACAAAAGTAGCTATGAAAACACATTTGAGGAAGGAACATCAATTGATCACGTGTCTGCGAATGTGTGGTTTTACAATCATGGATCAGTGTTTGAGCAGCAGTAACTCTATGTAGTGCAGAACTCATAAGTTGTCTCTGTGTGTATGTTTTTACAGCTGTAGATCAGTATTTGAGCAGCAGTAACTATATGGACTGTATCTCCTCCATGGCTGGCAGTAAGGGCTGCTCTCTGAGCTCCTCTCTGAAAGGGACAGACCTGCCAGAGCTCTTCAGCACTCTGGGACTGGGCAAATACACCGACGTCTTCCAGCAGCAGGAGGTACACACACACTCATTGATTGTACTGGACGTACCAGCTCTTATGCTGGGCTAGTGATATCCACTTTTCATCCTTCAGCTCAGCTAGTTAATAGGATACTTATGTTGTAAGAATAGAACAGAACATGCTGCAGTGATTTGAATTTAAAAGGGTTTGAATGTAAACTGGATATAGTTGTTTATTAAAAAAAAAAAAAAATTATTGATCCTTTGAAATCATGGACTTAGATAAAGAGTTCAGATGTGTCCGTGTGTGTTTTAGATTGATTTACAGACATTTGTCACGCTGACGGATCCAGATCTAAAGGAACTGGGAATCTCAACATTTGGAGCTCGCAGGAAAATGCTGCTGGCCATCTCAGGTGGGTCTGTGGGTGTTCCTGTCTGACAGTGCCATGACAGGAGGTTGAGGTCATTCCACCAGTTAGTGAAGAGAAGCTGTGCTCTGGCCACAAGCCAGAAAGTTTTCTAACAAGTGTCTGTTGTCTAGAGCAGAATGTAGATGTGAACCGCTTGGCACACCAGATGAGAAAAATTGTGCTGCTAGACCAGAGGGTCTTTGATGCTGGATAGCAGGTAGTACAAAGTACCGTTACAAAGCATAGGAAGTGTCACAGAAAGCGCTGACAAACACCAAGCTCATTTTACACACTACTCAAATCGACTTAATTGAATAAAATATCATTTATCGAGTTTGTTATTAGCTAACTAATTTTCACTAAGCCCCTGTTTTCAGGATAGGTGAAATATGGTGTAACTAGGCTAATAATGTTAAGGGAAGTGAAAACAGGCGATTAGCATTTGTTTATCTTAAAGACTTTCGTAACATAGACATAAAGCCACTTCACCTCCTATGGATTTGTGGTCTGGACTTAATATAATGATGCTGAGTGGGGTCACTATCTCTGCTCGCTGTAGACTGTAGCCAAGACTCCCATACATTTGTATATGTATATTTCATGGAGGTATAGTGTAATAGTAACTAAAGCATGTACTGTTAATAATAGTAATAATAATAATATTATTATTATTATAATAATCATAATTGTTATTTATATAGCACTTTTCATGCTGGTAGCAGCTCAAAGTGCTTTACAGACATAGGTGATAAAACAGTTATACAAGAAATAATAAGTGTTAATTTAGAATCAGAAGAAAATGACAGATCAAATTAAAAGATGAATACCACGAGATGCAGAGTTTTAATTGAATGCTAAGTTAACGAGATACGTTTTTAATAAACTTTCTAATAAAAGGTGGAATTAAGTTCCACAGTTTAGAAGCATAATAACTGAAAGATGCCTCTCCATGCTGTATTTTACAGAAGGTACTGTGTTGTTTTTGTCTGTATTTCACTTCTATGTAAAGACGTGGACACCTGACCATCGCATCTGTATAAGCTTTTTGGGCGTCCCATTCCAAAATACAGCATTAATATGGAGTTAGTGGCAAAGGTCGCATCCTGTGGCAGTGCCATGTTCAAAGTCACTGAGCTCTTCAGAACGACTCATTCTCCTGCCAGTGTCTGTCTATGGAGGTTGCATGGCTATGTGCTTGATTTTATCAATGGGTGTGGCTGAAATATCTGAACTCAGTAATTAGGAGGAGTGTTTACATACTTTTGGCCATATATTGTAGTTTCTCCATTTACATGTGTGTGTTTTTTTTTTAAAGCAATCTTGAATCACTAAAAAAATCACAAATCGCTGAATCAGTTCTTAATGAATCTAAATCTAATTGATTTCTTGTGAGGTAAGAGATTTACACCCCCCCCCCTAATTTCACTGTTAGTTCTGCCATTAAGCACATCTCGCTTCTTTTCTCATTTGAACAGAGCTGAATAAGAGCCGATGGAAACTCTTTGAGCCAACAAACATCCACTCCTCCTTCCTGGAAGGCGGCGCGAGTGGACGTCTCTCACACCAGTTCCACACTGACATGGCGAGCATAAGTGGACGCTGGTGAGCTCCAACCCTCGGGACCCTGCGACAAAAATGACCTACTGACAGTGCCTCTGCCTGGGCTGCACACGCCCCACCCCCCCATAAGCCTGGTGCTTCTGAGTATGTAGAGTGGATACTACAGAAATATAGTATTAATTTATATGCACCAAAATGGCAGCAAGTTAACAAAGCATTTCACAAGTGCCAAAAAAGGAGAATCTCCTTAGACATATGAAGGGTCCAAAGATAATGATGCTGCTACTTTATCAGTCGTGTCAAGAGTTAAACGTTTGTAAAATCATGAATATTTGATGCAGTATTAAGTGAAAGGGTGCAGTTGTGGATGTAAAGTCTTGTGCGTTTACCATGAAGGAGCAGGAAAAAGCAGAGGTAAAAAAAAAAAAACATCATTATCTTTGGTACTCTTGCTGTTTCTGGCAAGTATCAGCATAAAGCACTTTAAGACAGCTTTTACCTGTGGTTCTTTCAAGAGCGGTCAATGCAGTTTGCATGTGTTGATGTGATTCCATAGCACTTACTGACCTTAAGTGTCTGGGCAGAGTTCAGAGTTCATGCCTGAGATCAGTTGAATGGTCATATTCATGTTCTTCAAAGTGCTCTGCAGGCAGTGGTTAGTGTTGTAAGGCTGCACTTATTCCAGATATTTTAAAAGCTTATTTTAGTATTAACAGTTTAGTTTTATGTTTGCCTTAAGAAGCATTATGAGTTTACATTTTGTTTGCCACTTATTTTACATTCCGCTATGAGTTTATCAGATGGTAGCCCATTTTGTCAAAGGTTTGGTTTATGGCCTGAGAATTACCAGTATAAAGTGTAGAATTTCTGCACTTTACTGTAGGCCAGTGTTCATAAGGCTGCATGACTCCTGCACAGGCACTTCATGACAGCTAATATGCACCTATGAAAACCTCATTTATTAAGTGCCATTGAGCGTAAAGGTTGTATTTGCCAACTTTAATATCAACAGGACAGTCATGACGTTGTTTTTTCGTGTAATTAGGTTGTCAGGACACTTTCTGGGGTGAAATGACAGACTTTGTAGCTCAGTGTTTTTCACTGTCATATATTCTAAGTTGCAAAGTCAGTTGTTATAATGTGCTATGTGATTTCACCCAATGAAGCGTCATGACATAAACCTGACCGCTGTTATGTCAGCTTCAGATAAGAGTTGACGAAAACAACCTTTTATGACAAACAATACCTATTGAAATAAGCCTTTTATAAATGTTTATGCCAGTTTATATCAGTTATCATGAGCTTATGTAGGTGTCGTGTAGCATTATGAACACTGAGTGTTACTAAAATTTCCGCAGGGGGTCCATTAGGGGCAGTAGAAGATGACTTATCCACTTTTACCCCTTATGCCATCAGTCCATAAATCAGTTTTACCATTCCAAATTAGTTTAATACCAAGATAGTCTCTGTTTTCTCCTACGAAATCTGATCTGAGAGATGTATTAGTGATGAAATCTTACACTTTCAAAATGGGGCCCAGCTTCCTGGCCCATGGAAGAGGAATAATACATCTTACTCCTCTACTAATAACAAACACATTACATTGAATCAGACACATTAAAACCCCATTTCATGATTTACTGCAGTCCTAGTCTAGGCTAGCATTTTGTTTTTTTTGTGTTTTCAATGAATTGTCCCCCAGCAATCCTTAAATGAATGTTTTCTCTCTCTCTTTTTTTTTGAGGATTATTCCAGGTCCAAACTCGATGTTCATATAAATTTGAACAGTTTACATCATATATTTGAGGCACCCAGACGGTAACATGTATATACATCAAATTTGATGGGAGAAACTGTTTTTGTGTGTCCGTTTTTGTATTTTCCATGTTTATTGGTGGCCATATTTTATTTCTTTACAGTTTCTTTTGTAGCATTTTTACATCATTTTACTTTTAATATGTTGTTTTTTTGTATTTTTGTAAGTTGGAGGGTCGTGTGTTGTATTGTCTACCAAGGGATGTATACAGAATTTAGCCATCAAATGCCTTATAGCCTCTGGATTATAATGCGTATGCTTTGTAGGAATATTTTCTTCTAAGAACTGTTTGTATGTAAACGGTAGTGCATTCAGATATGCAGGGAAGCCACTTTGAAAATGTGTATTAGCTCATTGTTGTGACAATCCTGATTGTATAAAACTTTTTTTACATCTGGTTAGTTTTATGTGAGAGAATCTTACAAATGTTGCACAAGAGGTACCATAAGTAGCCTTTGCTAGTAGCTTTTTTTTATTGTAGCCTTATTTTGAGTAGCTGGTTAATACTAAATATGCAGATTTTCTTTTCATACTTTACTGTATCTGACTCTAGATTGGTTAAAAATTGCCAGACACAACGGCTGAGAAGTCTAAATTTGCATATATACGAGAACCAGTATGTGTTAAATACATTTAATTTAAGTGAAGGATTCAGGCGACTTTGTAGAAGCCTTATGTTGATTCTGAACCTGAAATTGATCTTGTGTTTGACAAATCAAGCCAGTTTGGATGGAGTTTGTTTCCACTGTGTTCTCAAACACGTTTGACTCGAGCAGTAACTCAGACGTTGACTGGTTTCAGCAGTATTTCTGGGGTGTGTTTTATGAAGGAACAACTGGGTTGTTCTGTTGGCGGTTGTTGTCTTTTCTCCCAAAGCAGAGGTTTGTGGGAAATGTAGTGATTTCTTTTGGGAGAAAACCACACCAAAGAAAACACTAGAAAAGGCCCTGCTTTGGATTCTTTGACAAAGGGAACAGAATTTGTGTTTTTGCCTTTAAAATCAGTGTCTTTGTAATGGAAGAAAACAACTGGTCCGCTTTGACTGTTGTAATGTTGTCATAGTGACCACAGTGAGAATGATCCTATCTGTGTGCTGCAGAGCTTTCTCTCTGCCACCGAAACAAAAGAAGCAAGTAATAATGTTCAGGAATAATGTTTGCTGATTGTGATTTTGTCTCAAAATAAAAATAAATATATGCAAAACAAAATCTTATTTTATGTCACCACTGTCTGAGTCCACACTGGTCAGGAAACTATAGGGCTATTAATAAATTACTGTGTGCTTGTGTTTCAGCCACTAAAACTGCCGATGTCTGGGCTTAATTTGGACACTAAAGTCTGTGACTATCATGTGTATCATTACCAGAGAGCATTGATATGAATATTGACTATTTTATCCTTTATAATGCAAATATACAGTACTATGCAAAGGTTAGAGACCACCATACATTTAATTACCTGTCAAAGCAGCCATTATGCAGGAAAAAAGAAAACATACACTTAATAGAAAATTACACAGAAACACTAATAACTATATATAAATATTTAGTGTGTCTACTTTTTACTTCCATTACAGCTTCCACTCTTTTCAGGAGACTCACTTTCAGTTTCTCAAAGAAATCTGCAGACACACCTCCAAAGCTCAGTCTTAGAGGTTGGTTGATCCTTTTCTGAAGTGATCAAACACATTCAGTGGTGTTGAGGTCTGGACTCTGGGGTGGTCAGTCCATTGTTCAGCTTCTTTGATGTGTCTCTTTTTCTCAGTGAGGTTCTTCTTGACAGCTACACATCCTTTCAGACCCATAGCGCTGAGTCGTCTTCTCACAGTGGAAGGATGGACAGAAACACCTGTGGATGTTTTCAGATCTGAAGTAGTTTGATTTTCTCCTCTCTCAAAGATGAAAGCTTTAAGTGCTGTTTATCAGATGGGGACAGTTTTGGTGTCTACCAGGTCGTGTATGATTGTCAGAACCACATTTTTTCTTATATATTTTAACAGCAGACATTGTCTCAAAGTATCTTTCCACAAATGCAAGTGCAGTCCCCACTGAGTGTCACAGAGTGAGACGGAGTCAGGGAAAAATTCCTACGAGCATGAATAAGAACCACGGAGAGGAACCAAGACTAAAAAAGGAAACAACTTGAAAACGAGAGCACGTTTTCTAATTGGGAGCCAAACATTCATTTAACCTTTGAAGAGAGGTCTGCAGCGTCTTGCGGCACAAGGTTAATTTTCAGCATTGTGAGCAGGAGCAGGTCTGTTACCCAGCCCAGTGCAGGGGGGAGTGGGACAACCCAAGTGTAGAAAAATGAATACCTTAAATGATAACAATCCCTTAATAATTGGTGCCTGTAAATATCTAACATCGAAGTAACAAAGTAATAAACTCATTTGAAATAAAAATTCTAAACTAGTCCTGAATAGAATCAACCAATCACACAAGTTTTGTGAACTGCTTTTTTGTGGGCTACAGACACAGCGGAACCTTTAGACCAGAGGTGGGGAACTCCGCTGCCGGACAGCCAGGTTCCTGAACAGTGTGGTGAATTACCCTGGACCTCAGTTTCTCACCCATGCTTTAGACAGTCCCACCACAGTGGAAAGTGCTCTTAAAGAGGGGGAAAACAACAGAACTAAAGGCAACTGACATATGGCAGTCATTTTCACTCAAGACTAGCCTAGATGGAAACCAGCTATATGCAGCTGCAGGCAGGAGCAGGCCAAAATGATGAGGTTGTGCAAGAGTTGGACAAACGATGCAGATTTTCTGTAGGAGTGGGATGAAATCTTGCGGGAGGGGGTGGGTGCAGGACTCAAAAATCTCCCAAGTTCTGCTGAAAGGCAAGCAATGTCTGCAGTGAGTATGAAGAGGAAATTAAGAAACAAGGGCGCAGTGTCATTGATGCAAATCACCAAAAGCTATTTAACTGTTAAAGGTGCCCCCTTGTGGAGAACCTTCAGCCTCCAAAACACAAGTGAGTTAAAAGCCAGTTCCATGAAGATAAGGAGTGTCACATCCGAAAAGGAGATGGGCTTAAAAAAGAGCTGCTGCCTAACTGACTGTAATGTTGCACTGATGACCCAAGCATTTAGGAAATAATCCGGTTTGACACTGGTCAAAATGTCAAAATGAAATGGTTAGAAATGTTTTATAGCCAAACAGTGTTCTTACACTCTTTCTGTGGTAATCTTATGTATAATTTCCAGTAGCTCTGTTATGCAACCACACTTCATCCTCCTACATACAGTGTGGAATATATTCCATCCCCATATGCTTAAACACATGTTCATGCATGTCCAAATACTCTGTGGGTTTCAATCTTGGCAGAGAAAGAAAACACTGGACTGTGCAGTGAAGGGGCATCCATTGCATTATGACTGCTGTCTGTGCTCTCCATCCACTACCCTTTTAGCATTGGGCTGTGGAGCAGTGGAACTGCGTTCTCTGGAGTGATTGAGATCATCCAACATAAGTACCTGTAATGCTCAATCAAATCCTCACAGCAGTGTTCCAACATCTAGTGTAAAGCCTTCCCAGAAGAGTAGAGGCTGTTACTGCAGCACAAATTCACTATTAATACCGTTGTTGAATGAGTAGTAGTGAATCTTGTAGTGAAGTGATACATGAGTTTAATGAGATATAGGTTGATAAAATACTTAAAAACAAATAAATACTAGACGTTATATGACTGTGTGCAACCACATGCATCCTGTTTATCCATGACCCTAAGCTTGACCTCGCCTAATGAGCTTTTCGCCTTTCAGATCTCCTGTGTCTGTCCTATGCAGTGGACACAGTGAGAACAGAATGAACCCTTCCTGTAGTACCATTCACCTCCAGCAGGGGGCAGCGCTCTCCACCTGTCCTTTAGGCCTATTCAAACTGATTTGTCATTCTAGATTTTGGCAGTGCTTTTTGAAAAGAGAACTGACCGTTTATTTAAAGCCCTGAACGGGTCACTCTGATCTGATACTCTGCACAGACTGCTCTTCATAAACCTTCATCCGGTGTTTGTGTTTGTGTTTATGTTTGTAAGTTAAAGTAAAAATAACGGATGTGCTGATATTTCAGGCCGTCTGCTGATTCTCATCTGTTTCCTGAAGCCACACTGTATCAGTCTCTCTCTTCCTTTCTCTCTCTCTTTCTCTCACTCCTTCAGTCTTTCTCCTCTTCTCTCTCTGTCCGTTTCCCCTTCTTAGTCCCATCCATCTACCTACCTATCCCCACCTCACTCCCCTCTCTTCCTCTTGTTCCTTCTCTTCCCTCTCTATCCTCTATCTCTTCTCTCTCCCCTTTCTCTCTACTTCTTCTCTCTCTCTATTCTCTCACTCTGTCCCTCACTCTCACTCCTTCAGTCTCTCTCCGCCTCTCTCTTTCTTTCTCTGTCCCTATCCGTCTATCTATCGATCTACCTATCACTGTCTCTCACTGTTTCCCTCTCTCTTCCATCTCTTGCCCCCTCCCCCTCTATCCTCTCTTTCTGTGTCCCCTCTCTCCCCCTCCCCCTCTCTCTTCTCTCTCTCCTTCTCCCTCCCTCTCCCCCTCTCTTCTCTCTCTCTCTCTCTCTGTATTCTCTTACTCTGTCCCTCACTCTCACTCGTTCAGTCTCTCTTCCCTTCTCTCTCTGTCCCAATCCATCTTTCTACCTACCTACCTATGACTGTCTCACTGTGTCCCCCTCTCTCCTTCTTCTCCCTCCTTTCTCTTTCTCTCCCTCTCTCTCCCCGTCTCCCCCTCTCTCCCCCTCCCCCCTCCCTCTCCCCCTCTTCTCTCTCTCCCTCCCTCTCTCTAACCCTTCCAATCCATCTATCTACCTACCTATCACTGTCTCACTGTGTCCTCGTCTCTCCCCCTCTCTCCTTCTTCCTCCCTTCTTTTTCTTTCCCCCTCTCCCTCTCTCTCTCTCATCCCCCTTTCCCTCTGTCTCATCCCCTCTCCCTCTCTGACCCCCCTCCCCCCCCCCTCTCTCTCCCTCCCTCCCTCCCTGTGAAAATAACTGCTCTGAGCTGTTTTCCTGTTTTGTATAATGTTATTCTCTGTGTTTGTGTTTACCTGACGAATGTCCACATCCGCGCGGGTCCACAGCGTTTGTCTCGTGCTTCATCACCGCTGTGAAGGCACGAGACCCGTTTGGTACCAAATAAGGACATGAGCACCAGACACAGTGACGTCAGAGAGAACGGATAAGGAGAAATGGAGGGAGCGCGAGGAGGAGGAGGGGCAAACAACGAGATTTAACTGGAGGGGGGGCAGAATTTCACTTACATAACACAGAGAGAGAGAGAAGCAGAGAGAGGTAGGTGAGGATGGGTGCTGTAAGACTGGTAGAGCCACACCTTCTCCATTTCATGATGAAAGAAAAACTTCACTTAATTGATTAATAAACAAAAATAGCCAGTTTATCGCAGTTAACAGAAGCTGAGGAATTCTAGATGTTGAGACACGATATCTGTCTTACTGCAATAACGTCCTGTAATATGTATATTCTAGCCTGAGTTATGACCACCTGGAAGACCTGGTAGACACCAAAACTGCCCCCATCAGATAAACAAGCACTTACAGCTTTCATCTTTAAGAGAGAGGAGAAAATCAAACTGCTTCAGATCTGAAAACATCTACAGGTGTTTCTGTCCATCCTTCCACTGTGAGAAGACGACTCAGCGCTGTGGGTCTGAAAGGATGTGTAGCTGTCAAGAAGACCTCACTGAGAAAAAGAGACACATCAAACAAAGAAGCTGAACAATGGACTGACCACCCCAGAGTCCAGACCTCAACATCACTAACTGTGTTTGATTACTTCAGAAAAGGATCAACCAGCTTCTAAGACTGAACTTTGGGGGTGTGTCTGCAGATTTTGAGTGAGACTGAGAGTGAGTCTCCTGAAAAGAATGGAAGCTAAATAAAGGGAGAGAGTGGATCAGACGCAGCAGTGCTGCTGGAGTTTTTTAACACTGTCCACTCACTGTCCACTCCATTAGACACTCCTACTTTGTTGGTCCACTTGTAGATGTAAAGCTAGACTGTAGCTCATCTGCTGCTGCACAGTTTGTGTTGGTCATCCTCTAGTCCTTCATCAGTGGTCACAGGACGCTGCCCACAGGACGCTGTTGGCTGGATATTTTTGGTTGGTGGACTATTCTCAGTCCAGCAGTGACACTGAGGTGTTTAAAAACTCCAGCAGCATTGCTGTGTCTGATCCACTCAGACCAGCACAACACACACTAACACACCACCACCACGTCAGTGTTACTGCAGTGCTGAGAATGATCCACCACCCAAATAGTACCTGCTCTGTGGGGGTCCTGACCATTAAAGAACAGGCTAAACAAAGTATACAGAGAAACAGATGGACCACAGTCTGTAACTGTAGAACTACCAAGTGAAACTATATGGGCAGTGGAGCTGATAAAATGGACACTGAAGTGACCGGTGGATGTTCTCACACAAAATGACTAAAATGCTACATGCTTAACTGTGTATACACAACAGGCAATGCCATGGTACTAGAAGTAATGACAGAACATCTTTATAGATAATGTTGCTTTTTGCTGTACTTTTGCATCACCTTTTGTGTCCTGTAATTCCTTTGGTAATATTGGAAAATAGTCATATCAATAAAGGCTATTAAACTGGAAGCTAATATAAATGGTTATTATAGGGAATTCCTTGAATATATTCCCAGACTTTACAACCAAAGCTTTGACAGGTGGCACATTATTTGTTTAAGGTAGTAAAGCAAATTAAGCACCATGAATTGAACAGAGAGAAAGTGTGTGTGTGTGTGTGTGTGTGTGTGTGTGTGTGAGAGAGAGAGAGAGAGAGAGAGAGAGAGAGAGAGAGAGAGTGAGAGAGATTATGAATATGAGAAGTACAAAGAAATTAAGTTCGGCCACATTCAGTTTATTATTATCTTATTCAGTTTATAACACTGTTGTGGTGTTTATAAGGACAGACACAGTTTATAAGCAAATGCTGGTGACAATTCACTGAGCAAGAAAGAGAGAGGAGAGACAAAAAAGAGAAGGAGAGAGGGAGGAGAAAGAAAGGAGAGAAGAAAAGAAAGACTGAAAGAAAAAGGAGCGAGAATTAACAAAAAAAGGGAAGACAGGGAAAGAGAGAGAAGGAAAGAAATGAAAAGAAAAAAGGAGAGAAGAAGAAAGACGGAGGAAAGACAGAAAGTGAGAAAGGAGGAGAGAGAAAAAGAAAGAAGAAAGTGAAGAGAAGGAGAGGAAGAAAAAGAAGGAGAGAAAGAGGGAGAGAATGAAAAAAGGAGAAAGAATGAGAGAATAGAGTGAGGAAAGACAAGGAAAGAAAGTGAGAGAGAAGTAAAGAAAGAAAGAGAGGAGGAAAGAAAGAGAGAGGTTACAAATATGAGGTTCAGTTCAACGTTCTGCGTATTGATGTTCTGTTCAGTTTGTAACGCTGGCGGTCAGAATCCACAGACAGCTGGAGGTGGAGCTCGCGCTGGTGACGATTCACTGACGCAGAGAGGGAGAGAGAGAGAGAGAGAGAGAGAGACTCCAAGAAGGGTGAGGACCGCTCGTGCCTCTCTTTCCCTCTCCAGCTCGCGCCAAAAAAGCGAAAGAAAAAAAAAGAGCCCCCCTTTGACACCGCACGAGCCGGACAGACATGGAGGCTCCGGGTCTCGGCCGCGGCGTCCCGGCGAGCCCGCGCGAGGGCCTCGTGAAGAACGTGAGCCTGGAGTCGCTCCAGCTGTGCGAGAGAGACGGTAAGTGGAGAGGGCGCGCGCGCTCGAGCGGCTCCGCGCCATTTACCGGCTAAAACCGGTGACGCTACATTTTTTTTTGCAGTTCTGTTGAGTTACAGTCGACATTTACTTCACTCACAGCAGCCCTCGCACCTCTCTGTGTGCTCATGTGCGCGTGACAGGACATTTTTGTGGTGCTTTATTTGCACGAGCTCTTCGCGGTAAACCATGCCGAGTCATCGTCATCATCGTCTTCATCATCATCTCGGCCGCAGGCGTTGCGTTTTAGGGCTGCTGGGTTTTTAATGTCTTTGTAATCCACGACACCCCGCTTACAGCCAAGCATGCCAGTGTAAACGGAGTGCAGCGCGAGCTGGGCGTTGCGTTTTCCAAAGTGAAAAAAATCGCCGCGCGTGCTTTCACCCTCTCAGCACCAAGCTGTCCATTTCAGCAGCATACCAGCGGTCTCCTCCTGGGGGTCTACATTCCTGCAGGATGCACCTCTAATTCACCTAAATAAGGACTTCTGACGGTAATGAGGTGGATCCGGTGGGGTCCATCTGGGGTGGAGCAAGGTAGATCTCCAGGAGCAGGCTTGGTGTACATTTTGATGCTCTACATTGGTGGTCCTGGTCCTGGAGGACCCCCTGCCCTGCACATGTTAGTGTTCCCCTGTTTCCAACACACCTGATCAAAGTAATCAGTTCATTAACAAGCCCTCCATGAGATGAGGTGGGTGTGTTATAAGAGGAAAGCACTAAAATGTGTAGGGGTGGAACCTGTGCTTCTATACCATTAGCAACGAGCAACAAATGTACACTAATGTACTGTATGCTACAGCCCAGTTCAGCACCATGGACAGAACTGGACGAGGCACTGCCTAGGGCAGGGGTCAGCAATCCAAATGTTATGAAGAGCCATTTTGTCCTTTCAACAAAAATCAAACCACCTTGGGAGCCACAACATTTTATGTCCCTTTGATCATCTTGGCTGTAAATATGTCTCAGTACGTGCTGATGTGCCAGTAAAGGCCAAAAAATATAATATAAATGAAAACACAAACTGTCTTTGCTCTGCTTAAAGCTGTAGCTCAGCTCTAGCCGCTTTTCTCGCATCTCCGGCAGGAAACTTCTCCGCAAAAGAAGAACAGTCTCTCATAAAATGTCTCTCGACATTCAACTTCTTACGAGGCATGAGTCGCTTCTCATTCACCAGCTTCTTGCTCAAATTTACTCGTTCCACCTTAAATGGTTCCTGAGGTGCCAGAATGCAACTGTTGCACCTTTTAAGGTGTAATGGGGTGATTCAAACAAGAAACTGGTGAACGAGAAGCTGATTTCAGCTTTGTGACTTTTTAGTGTTCCACAGTTTCTCACTGCATTAAATGTATCAGGAAACCATCTGGAGTGATTATAAATGCAAATAAGTCCTAATGCTGTAGAACAACAAATGTACACTGATGTTATCCATGTCCGTCCTGGAGGCCCACTGCCCTGCACCTTTTAGCGTTTTTTGCTGCCTCCAACACACCTGATCCAGCTAATCCGCCCATTAACAACCCCTTACTGAGTTGAAGTGGGTGAGTAAAGCAGCGTGCAGGACAGTTGGGTTGAGAAACACTGCTCTATGGTACAGCGCTGAGTGGGTTCTGTCCATGGTGCTGAAACAGATATTTGTAGTAATAGACTATAATGCGAACGCTGGTTCTGTCCATGGTGCTGAAATAGACTTTAGAATAGAAATAGACTCTATCTGTCTCAACTGGACCTCCACTGTGCTGAAGTTACTTCTGGTGCTGAATGTGCTCTGTATTAACTGTAGAAATGGACTCTGTCTGTGGTGCTGAAATGGACGCTATATTATAGAAATACACTCTAGAGCAGGTTCTTATACCGGTCATCAGGGACCCCCTGACTGTCCAGATTTTCTCTCCAACCTAACATGCAACCCAAGGATACAGCAAAAATGTGGTCCGGCTAAGGTCCCTGAGGACAGGTTTGAGAACCACTGCTCTAGATAAATTGTCCCTGCATTCTAGTTTAGAAATGGATGCTATGGATCTGTAAATGATGCTGTATTATAGAAATAGACTCTAATAGACAAACTGACCTGCTGAAATGCTTTCTAGTGTAGAATGATCCTAAATGGACTTATTATTGTGGTGCTATAGAAGTGTATCTATCTGTCTATCTACTGTCTCTGTCTGTCTATCTATCTCTCCACCTATCTATCTACAGAAACAAGCACTATTCTTGAGGCTCATGTAGTGTGGAATGTGGTGCTGATATGCATTCTAGTGTAGAAATAGACTCAATGGATCTGAAATACAGTCTATCCATGATGTTGAATTAGAACTGTCCCTGGTGCTGAAATTTCTAGATATAGAAGTGGAATTCATGGTGTCTGTAGTGCTGAAATGCATTCCAGTGTAGAAACAGATCCTGTTCATGAAGCTCAAATGCACTGTTTGCGGTGCAGGAATGCGTGTCAATCAGCCCCACCGCCATCGCATTCGCTGCAATAAGGCAGTGACTTAGCGTTTATTTTTCAGCCTCCCCTGAAAGCTGAGGCGTAGGCAGTTCCTCAGTGTTACAGTAGTGCAGTGTTTCCTCGTTCTGCTCCAGAATAATACAGATAGATAGATAGATAGATAGATAGATAGATAGATAGATAGATGGATGCACGGACGGACGGACAGACAGACGATGGATGGATGGATGGATGGATGGATGGATGGATGGATGGACAGATGGACGGACAGAGAGGTAGACAGATAGATAGATAGATAGATAGATAGATAGATAGATAGACAGACAGACAGACAGACAGATAGATAGATAGATAGATAGATAGACAGATAAGTACAATAGATAGGTAGATGGATGGATGGATGGATGGATGTATGGTGGGCAGAGCCTCTTCATCTGTCCAGCCTTGTCTTTAAACCCACCTTACAGCATCAGGACCCTCTGAAGAGGAAAGAGTGTTAAATTATTCATGACTGGCAGAAAAAAGTCCTGCAGACCTGATGATTCAGCTGATGATGAAGAGACTCATTTACATGTTCAACCTCAACCCTCCACACTTTAACACAGACTGATCTCCTGATCACGGAGCCACAGAGTGAAGTGAAGTCTCAGAAAAAAATGAATGAATTCATATCCTTCACTTTTCTACACAGACTGTACACAGCCTACTGGAATGAACCCAAGAACACATTATAATAATGAGATCTGGGAAAATGGGCGAAATCTGAAGAAACACCAGAAGAGCTGCCAGGATATATACACGCACTGCAGGCAGTGTGGAGAGAACAGACAGAATGAAAGAGTGAAAAACCAGTAGGACTATAAGGGAGGTTTGAAAAGAGACCCTACAACACTGTTGTAAGTTTGGAATCAATATTTTGGTTAAATAATTAGTAGGAAGCAGTAAAAATACAAAGTGATTAACAGAGCTGTAGATCAAAGTAATATCCAAAATGAATTTATAAGAAAATCATTATTATCCAGAAATACATTCAAATAATATTCACGACAAAGTTCTAATCTAGGACTGCCCAAAATAGATGGCCTGGGAGGATGTTTACCAGAAGGTCACCCAGCCCCCCCTCCCCAGAGTGAACTTACATAATTTTATACTGTAAATGACTTATTTGATTCTTAATTTTCTCTTAGAATATTATGTTTGAAAAATTTTAGTAATAAAATGTTATGAAATGCATTTTTGACAACAACATACCTTTATTTGTATACTCTCTTGTCTTTTTTGGCTCTCAGCCAATCACAAACCAGAACTTTGGGCCCATGTTCTGATAAAATTAATATCCAGAATGATATTATAATAAAATTAATAACCAGAATGTCTCATATTTCAAGATACGTCATCAAATCACAATGTAGTTTGTGATAACTTGGCAAAAAATAATGTAAATAGATCATTACAGCATATTGTTTATCTTTAAATGTTGCTTCCAAAATGCTTGAAATGTTGAATAAAACATGTAAAAATACCTTTTAAAAAGGCAAAAATTGCTAATATAACAAGTGATTCCAAACATCAAAACGGTACTGACACACCCACACATTTGCGCCGCCCCCTTTTCATTCTCTTTTTCGTTGAAGAAAACGTTCATCCTCCTGAAAATAGACGAGTGTAGGCAGCATCAGTCTGCGCTGCTCTCAGTGGTGTTTTTATCTCAGCTCTGGAGATCCCGTCCACGCGTGTCTATCAGGGTCACTGTTATTTGCATTATGTGAGACATTCACAGCATTTGTTTCGGTACATTTGGTGCTGCTTACTGCAGAACGCATCTGTTAGAGTCTACACAAGGTTCAGTAACACTGTTTATCTGAACAGAAAGGCTGCGGGAGCTTGTGTAGTACAGTTTTAATATAAACAGAGTCATTCAGAGACGTTTGGCGTGACATGGTTCAGATTTCTTTACAGTGGTGGTGATAGGAACCAGGGGTTGCCATGACTACAACACAAATATAGACATTTTATTTGCTATCCAAAACCACCAGTGAACCTACACCTGTCATCTGAGATTTAATATAGAGTGTCGATGACAGTAAAACACCCTGCATGTACCCCTCCACCATGAATGGATTAAATACATATATTTTAGTCCAAAATTTAACCCTTGTGTGGTGTTGATGTGTTTGTTACTCAGTGGTCTGGTGGACCCACAGCATTATTGTTTTTTAAATCAATACAGCCATAATAATTTATTTTAAAATATCAGATATATAAAATATCACAAGTGTACAGTGAAGGGTTCTCCTTTAGCAGCTGTAGCCAGTAAGCAGCCTGTCCATGCTGTCCCACAGACCCCAACACCACACAAGGGTTAGTCTTTAAACTATCTATCTTTAAACAATGTCTCAGACATCAAGCAGCGTATTAGTAACTACTTCATGCAATAACTTTCTGTGAGGGAGCTTTTAGAGGTGGACATCTGGTTCCCATCACCACCACTGTGAACAATTCCGGTTCTGTACGTTTCTCTAGAACAGAGC